TCTTCTAAAACCTGTAAAGGTCTCTCATTACTCTTATCCTGTCTACCTGGACACGCACGGATCATATGCCCTAATTCACCACAATTAAAACACTTCATGTTGTTTGTAGTGGCAAAAATTACGTAATTAAATTCCTCGTGTCGAAAATTTAAGGACAAATCCAGTTCATCAATATTATCTTGTAGGATCATATAAACATAACGCCTAAAAGACACTACATGTTTCAAGAGAGGAGATTTGGTGCCAATCGGAATCATCTTTATAGGCGAGACTGTTTTTCCATAACGGGCAAGCAATCCGATCAACACTTGCATTTGGGATAAATGGTGGCACATTCGATAAAGTGACCTTTTTAGAAGGTGTAGACAAGGGAAGCACTGGTGTAAAAATACCGTTAATCACTATGCCGCTTTGTACTAACTGATTTGCTAAATCCACTGTTTTCATAAATACAACAACAGCGCTGTTCATACGGGACGCTGATACAATATTCTCATATCCGACCGCTTCTCCCACCGCTAAACTGCATCCCTCCACACCAGCACCTGAGTCTATTTTTACACCATGACGCCTTGTCAAAGATTGAAACTCCCGCCGCTGCCTGGGGTAGCCATGCTCCCAACACGTGGGAGCCGACACCCCGTCTGACACAACACTCACTTCCCTACTTCACAACTTAAATCTACAAAAAACAAAACCAATAAACAACTAACCAAAAAATAAATAAATAAATAAGATATGAGAAGTATAGACCACTCGTACCTCACACAGCAGCCAAACGCTCGCTCACACTCACTCCGCCCACTCACCCGCACATGCGCACAGAGAGAGAGAGAGAGATAGAGATGGAGAGATAGAGATGGAGAGATAGAGATGGAGAGATAGAGATGGAGAGATAGAGATGGAGAGAGAGGGAGAGATGGAGATGGAGAGATGGAGATGGAAGAGAGAGGGAGAGATGGAGATGGAGAGATAGAGATGGAGAGATAGAGATGGAGAGAGGATGGAGATAGAGATGGAGAGACGGAGATGGAGAGATGGAGATGGAGATGGAGAGATGGAGAGATAGATAGAGAGAGAGGGAGAGATGGAGATGGAGAGATGGAGATGGAGAGATGGGGATGGAGAGATGGAGATGGAGAGATGGAGAGATGGAGATATGGAGAGATGGAGAGAGAGGGAGAGATAGAGATGGAGATAGAGATGGAGATGGAGAGAGAGGGAGAGATGGAGATGGAGAGATGGAGATGGAGAGATGGAGAGAGAGGGAGAGATGGAGATGGAGAGATGGAGATGGGGAGATGGAGAGATGGAGAGATAGAGATGGAGAGATAGAGATGGAGAGATAGAGATGGAGAGATAGAGATGGAGAGATAGAGATGGAGAGATAGATGGAGAGATAGAGATGGAGAGATAGAGATAGAGATGGAGAGATAGAGATGGAGAGGAGAGATAGAGATGGAGAGATAGAGATGGAGAGGGAGAGATGGAGATGGAGAGAGGGAGAGATGGAGATGGAGAGATGGAGAGATAGAGATGGAGAGAGAGGGAGATGGAGAGAGAGGGAGATGGAGAGATAGAGATGGAGAGATAGAGATGGAGAGATAGAGATGGAGAGATAGAGATGGAGAGAGAGGGAGAGATGGAGATGGAGATGGAGAGAGAGGGAGATGGAGAGAGAGGGAGATGGAGAGATAGAGATGGAGAGAGATAGAGATGGAGAGATAGAGATGGAGAGATAGAGATGGAGAGATAGAGATGGAGAGATGGAGAGATAGAGATAGAGAGGAGAGATAGAGATGGAGAGGAGAGATGGAGATGGATAGATGGAGATGGAGAGATGGAGAGAGAGGGAGAGATGGAGATGGAGAGATAGAGAGAGAGGGAGATGAGAGATAGAGAGAGGGAGAGGGAGATGGAGAGATGGAGATGGAGAGATGGAGAGAGAGGGAGATGGAGAGATGGAGAGATAGAGATGGAGAGATAGAGATGGAGAGATGGAGAGATAGAGATGGAGAGATAGAGATGGAGAGATAGAGATGGACGAGATAGAGATGGAGAGATAGAGATGGAGAGATAGAGATGGAGAGGAGAGATGGAGAGATGGAGATGGAGAGATGGAGATGGAGAGATGGAGATGGAGAGATGGAGATGGAGAGATGGAGATGGAGAGATAGAGATGGAGAGATAGAGATGGAGAGGAGAGATAGAGATGGAGAGGAGAGATAGAGATGGAGAGATGGAGATGGAGAGAGAGGGAGAGATGGAGATGGAGAGATGGAGATGGAGAGATGGAGATGGAGAGATGGAGATGGAGAGAGAGATGGAGATATGGAGATGGAGAGATGGAGATGGAGAGATGGAGATATGGAGAGATGGAGAGAGAGGGAGAGATAGAGATGGAGAGATAGAGATGGAGAGATAGAGATGGAGAGATAGAGATGGAGAGGAGAGATAGAGATGGAGAGATGGAGATGGAGAGAGAGGGAGAGATGGAGATGGAGAGATGGAGATGGAGAGATGGAGAGATGGAGAGAGAGGGAGAGATGGATATATGGAGATGGAGAGATGGAGATATGGAGATATGGAGAGATGGAGAGAGAGGGAGAGATGGAGATGGAGAGATAGAGATGGAGAGATAGAGATAGAGATGGAGAGATAGAGATGGAGAGATAGAGATGGAGAGATAGAGATGGAGAGGAGAGATAGAGATGGAGAGGAGGAGATGGAGATGGAGAGAGAGGGAGAGATGGAGATGGAGAGATGGAGATGGAGATGGAGAGATGGAGATGGAGAGATGGAGTGTTGGAGATATGGAGAGATGGAGAGAGAGGGAGAGATGGAGATGGAGAGATAGAGATGGAGAGATAGAGATGGAGTGGAGAGATAGAGATGGAGAGTGAGAGATAGAGATGGAGAGATAGAGATGGAGATGGAGAGATAGAGATGGAGAGATAGATATAGAGATGGAGAGGAGAGATAGAGAGATGGGAGAGAGAGGGAGAGATGGAGATGGAGAGATAGAGATGGAGAGGAGAGATAGAGATGGAGAGGAGAGATAGAGATGGAGAGATAGAGATGGAGAGATGGAGATAGAGAGATGGAGATGGAGAGATGGAGATGGAGAGATGGAGAGAGAGGGAGAGATTGAGATGGAGAGATGGAGATGGAGAGATGGAGATATGGAGAGATGGAGAGAGAGGGAGAGATGGAGATGGAGAGATAGAGATGGAGAGATAGAGATAGAGATGGAGAGATAGAGATGGAGAGGAGAGATAGAGATGGAGAGGAGAGATAGAGATGGAGAGATAGAGATGGAGAGATGGAGATAGAGATGGAGAGATGGAGATGGAGAGATGGAGAGAGAGGGAGAGTGGAGATGGAGAGATGGAGATGGAGAGATGGAGGGAGGAGAGGAGAGATGAGATGGAGATGGAGATGGGGAGAGATAGAGAGAGAGGGAGATGGAGAGATAGAGATGGAGAGACAGAGATGGAGAGATAGAGATGGAGAGATAGAGATAGAGATGGAGAGGAGAGATAGAGATGGAGAGATAGAGATGGGGATGGAGAGATGGAGAGATGGAGATGGAGAGAGAGGGAGAGATGGGATGATGGAGAGATGGAGATGGAGAGTAGAGAGAGAGGGAGATGGAGAGAGAGGGAGAGATGGAGATGGAGAGAGAGAGAGAGGGAGATGGGGAGATGGAGAGATGAGATGGAGAGATGGAGATGGAGAGAGAGGGAGATGGAGAGATGGAGGGAGATGGGGAGATGGGAGATAGAGATGGAGAGGGAGATGGGAGATGGAGATGGAGAGATGAGATGGAGAGATGGAGATGGAGAGATGGAGATGGAGAGAGAGGGAGTTGGAGGGAGATGGGGAGATGGAGATGGAGAGATGAGATGGAGAGATGGAGATGGAGAGATAGAGAGAGAGGGAGATGGAGAGATGGAGAGATAGAGAGAGAGGGAGATGGACCCACAAGGCAACCTTGCAAAGCAAACCAAAATGTGTTTATGCAAGTCACATGCGAGTACAACTGTCCTCTTATTGGTCAGACTCTGATAGCACACCACATCACAGAAACGTCTATTTGATGTCTGCATTTACATCTGCTAGATGCATTTTCAAGAGTGTTTGCTCATCTGCAATACATATCTGAGACGTCTCCTGTCATATAGACGTCTAAAAGATGTCCGCAAGATGTTTATGGTTTGGAATGTATGTAAAAACTGCTCTCTCTAAAGCCAGGCACACACTTAATGACTGTAAGGTCGATTATAAATGTAATTTGATATCATTGGAAACTGTCTGTAAGTGTGTTCAGTTCAGTCTTCGAATGTTTCAGCTAACGTTAAGCTTGCCCCAGCTTAAGATGTTTATCAGATGTTTTCCAGATCTCTAGCAGACATCTTCCATCAATATGATTGGACAAGTTCGCTCCACAAGCTTATTGTGGCTTATTTTTTAACTGTCGATAGACTACTATACGAATGTAGCCTTCAATCCTGCATTATAATATAGCCTATACAATGCCGTTTAAGCGTCTGCAGTTGCTTCGTCGGGACAGCATTCTTGCAATGCAACGAAGAGCAATTACACAACATGAGGCGCTTTTTAGTTTTCAACTGCGTTAACTAATGTGCCCACTCACAGAATCAGACACCGCTGCTTTTAATAGAACACATTTGCCGTTATGAATGGATACCGCTTGGTTCAATGGTCCGGATTACTTTCCCACCTCAACCGAACCACTCCAGCGTTCGCTTGCAATCGGGGCCGAGACCAGCTAGTTCAGGTTGTCTCGGAGCGAGATTGTTTTGGTGCGGATCAGAGCGCGATTGACGTGTTCATAAATGCCTGAACAAAATTAACTAAACGAGAACGCAGCAGGTTCCGAGAAAGCGCCCTAAAATAATGTATTTCATAGTAATGAAGTTTGGGCTTGTTCCACAAAGACATACAGAAACCTTGTTTGTTACTGTAAAAAAAAAAAATGTATAGGGTCTTTTTAATTTGGTACGGTGCAATCTTATAGCATCATACATTTCTACATAGTTACAACACTCAGCTTTTAATCTTCATGAAAAGACCTTTGTGCAAACATGTTTTACATAGTATACTAGTGAGAAATGTCACTGTTCTTTTAACTTCAATAAATTACTTAAATTAGTGCTATTCAAGCAGTTTGAGTCAACATGCCCCGACGTGACCCGTATGATTGTGTTCTGACAGGAGAGAGTTTGATTCGTACTACACAGTCTTTACTCAGACCGTCTTCATATGCACAGCTGTTTGCCTGGAATGGAAAAACATCTTTCTCAAATAATTTACAGTACCACGTGTCCATTAAAAACTGTCAGCCTTAACGTCGTCTGTGGAGTTCAGACTGAAGTCCTCCTGATCACTGCTAGCTTCTGAGTCGGTGTTATTCAGAAGGTCCACTAATAAGCCAATAAGCTCACTGTCCTTCCGGCTGTCCGAGCTGGATGCACATTCAGACGGTCGAAGATTGCGGTGGATCATGGCCTGTAGGGAAGTGCGCAGGTCCCACAGCAACTCCCAGACTTGAGGGAAAACTCCCATCGTATGAGTGTATGACCTGGTAATGCCACCTCTACCCGATCTCCCAGAACTAAAAAAAAAACAAAAATATATATTACCACTGTATACACAACTTTTCAGAGCAAACATGAATTGATTTGCATAAAGAATTGAATTGACATACATAAAGCTTACATTATATTTCAGTATGAAGTGAATATGGAAGCTTGTTTCCGCCACGGAATGAAGAAATATAGGTATTGAACCATCACCGAACTTACTTAAGCTGGACTGTGACGCTATTTTCTTCTAACTTTGTTGCATTATTTTTCTGTTATCTCTGTAAAGCTGCTTTGAAACAATCTGTATTGTAAAAAGCACTATATAAATAAATGTGAAAAAAAAAACAATTTCTCAGAATTGCGAGATTAACACGCAATTGTTAAAAATAAACTTGGAAATGTGAGTTCTAAAGTTAAAATTGTGAGATATAAACTTGCAACTGCAAGAAAAAAAGCAATTACTGTTTTTGTTTTGTTTTTTTTAATCCGTGGCGGAAACAATCTTCCATAGAATAATGATCAGAATCCAAGATCCAACTCTGTGGGGATGGCAGGCATTCATTACCTCTCTCGCTGAGGTCACAGTCTGTGAGGAGCAACAGCGCTAGTGGATGAACCACCGAAGAGTCTCTGATGAACACTTGATCATTTGATTTCATAGCAGAGAAGAAGGTGAGCCAGCGACTCGGGAGATTCTGATTTCCCCTAAACGACACACAACACATGACTTCAACTGAACAGAACAGCGTCTTAAACTCAGGCAAATTAATCTGCGATGAAGATTGTGATGCACATTTTCACCAGCACAGGCAAGGTGGTGACGTAACGAGGAACGATAACTACATTAGCGTCCACACAAGCGGACTATATCGTTACTGTTTACTAAATTAATCGTAAGAGAACATTATACAGATACAATAGCAAAAAAATTTTAAAAAATTGTGGGTGAAAAATGGTCAGGATTTGGGATAGGACATTAATTACAGAATATATCTCTGCTGTAATGCCCAATGTTTTCAAAAGAAATTTCCTATAGAAATTCATATTACAACAATACAAACAAAACACCATCAATGTCGATCCATCCATTTAGCAGATTTATTAATCTCTCTATCTGACTCTAAACATCATATTCACCTGTTGACGGAGGAGCGGTGCAGCAGCACAGGGGTGCTCTCCGTCCGGTAGCAGAGACTTTCAGGACGAAATCTCCCACCTTTGGTCACTGTGCCTCTTTTCACCTTGGTAAAGTTCAGATATTTTATTAATAGATATGCGCCTATGCAGATATTGTGCCAGATGCAGAAAGCCAGGGGTTATTTTTTTTGTGCTGGGACCAGTAATTACAAATATGTAATCCTTTGTCTGTTTTATAAGGACATACAATTCACACAGTGAAACCATAAGCTTCGGGCTTGTCCACATAAAACCGGGCATCAAAACAAAATTGACTAGAGCAATAGTGTTTTAGTTAATACAGTATTTTTCATCAATCAGTTTAAAAAAGAAAAAGAAAAAAAAGGTCTGAAATGATCTTAGAAAATAAATGTCACATATACACTCACCTAAAGGATTATTAGGAACACCATACTAATACTGTGTTTGACCACCTTTCGCCTTCAGAACTGCCTTAATTCTATGTGGCATTGAATCAACAAGATGCTGAAAGCATTCTTTAGAAATGTTGGCCCATATTGATAGGATAGCATCTTGCAGTTGATGGAGATTTGTGGGATGCACATCCAGGGCACGAAGCTCCCGTTCCACCACATCCCAAAGATGCTCTATTGGGTTGAGATCTGGTGACTGTGGGGGCCATTTTAGTACAGTGAACTCATTGTCATGTTCAAAAAAACCAATTTGAAATGATTCGAGCTTTGTGACATGGTGCATTATCCTGCTGGAAGTAGCCTTCAGAGGATGGGTACATGGTGGCCATAAAGGGCTGGACATGGTCAGAAACAATGCTCAGGTAGGCCGTGGCATTTAAACGATGCCCAATTGGCACTAAGGGGCCTAAAGTGTGCCAAGAAAACATCCCCCACACCATTACACCACCACCACCATGCTTTGCTGCATACCTCGGTTGTAACGAGTGGTTATTTCAGTCAAAGTTGCTCTTCTATCAGCTTGAATCAGTTGGCCCATTCTCCTCTGACCTCTAGCATCAACAAGGCATTTTCGCCACAGGACTGCCGCATACTGGATGTTTTTCCCTTTTCACACCATTCTTTGTAAACCCTAGAAATGGTTGTGCGTGAAAATCCCAGTAACTGAGCAGATTGTGAAATACTCAGAACCGGCCTGTCTGGCACCAACAACCATGCCACGCTCAAAATTGCTTAAATCACCTTTCTTTCCCATTCTGACATTCAGTTTGGAGTTCAGGAGATTGTCTTGACCAGGACCACACCCTAAATGCATTGAGGCAACTGCCATGTGATTGGTTGATTAGATAATTGCATTAATGAGAAATTGAACAGGTGTTCCTAATAATCCTTTAGGTGAGTGTAAATGTCCTGCATATATAGAGTATCTGGAAGTGTGTGGTACCTGTATGAGGTTTAGGATAGAGGCCAGCAACCAGCACTGCTTTAAGTACTGCTCCTGCTGACTGTGCTGGTTCAGATGAGACGAGACACGCAGACATTCAGCAGAATGAGCCAACAGTCCAGCATCAGACAAGTTCTCACTGAACTGTTGCATCAGGCCTGTTTAAGAGACAAAGGAAAGGTTTTTTTGGTTACTATGGCTCCAAAATGACTAAAAGCAGCATCAAACTGAGCATTTTACACTTGGTCTTCAAACATACCATTTATGGCCACGGCACAATTTATAAAGGCAGTGAAGAAATGTAAAAATGCACATTTACTTTAAAGACGCATGTCTGTGAAGGTTTTTACTCATCTAGGACACTTCTGGCAAAATTTGGCTGAAAGCAAAACATGTTTTCGTTCTGCCCAGGTTCATGATTACGTTTTATAATGAACAGGCTGCGATGTCAAGATTGCAATGCTGGAATGTGTTGGTGTGTGTGAAGCAGCACTGAAGTGGAGAGAGAGAGACAGAGACACAGAGAGAGAGAGAGAGAGAGAGATGAGAGAGAGAGAGAGAGAGAGAGAGAGAGAGAGAGAGAGAGAGAGAGAGAGAAGAGAGAGGAGAGAGAGAGAGAGAGAGAGAAGAGAGAGAGAGAGAGAGAGAGAGAGAGAGAGAGAGAGAGGTGCGGGCGCAATCGAAGAAATGGGCGCTGCAAATTGACCGAAGTCTTGGAGACCGAAGCAGCACTGAAGTCAGCGCGTTTGGTCCGAACAAAGTTGACCCAGGCACGGAACACAGACCTGCTTTTTTGGGGAAAAAGTGGACTCTGTGACCGGTTTTAACTGTGTTTTATCACCCAGCACAAACGCAGTAATTCACCATTGTGAAAATACGCCCTGCGTATACCTAACTAACTACCTAACTTAAATAGTACTAACTAATAAATAAATGTCCTAATCACTAATTCTCTCGCTCTATCACTCGTACAATTATCAACACAGCTCACAAACTCACTTTCTCAGCGCCCTGGGAGACGTTTGGGCGGAGGAGCAGTTTTAAGTGAGTACTGAAAATAACGAACTTTTTCATCTTATATTCTGCCTTTAGGTATGGAAAATCATACAAAACAATACAACAACTTGTCAAACGTGTATTTCCCCTAACTATTTTGTGTTAACCATAATTACGAATTTAACCTGACATACGCACTTTAAGTTACATAGCCTGCCTCCAGTTTTCCTCAACTTGACTAATTAAGAGGCGATATTTGACTGGCATATCATCAAAATGTCCGTAAAACGAAAACTCTGCCAGTCATGTTGATGGGCACCATTTTTTTCTAGCGGAAACTCTGCTCTACATATCTGTTGCTTTCTGATTTCTTGCAGAAAACAAGACATGCCCTGATTCACAGAACAACAGCCAAGTTTAAGATGACGCTTGTGTATGTTCTGGTTTTGCGTCACATTAAAGTACGAGGAAACATGTTTCCTTGCATGGACTCGGCATGCGTCTGCATGCTCATGATGACAAATGAATTGGCCAAAGCAAGTCCACCAACGTTACTCCGTTAACTCTTCTGTCTGGTTTGCTTGTTGGACAAAATTGTGGATTCCTTGTTTTGATTGGTCAGATCGCCTGTCAATCAAACTCCAGACGAAGGGTAAATTGAGGGATTCATACACAACTATTGCGAAAGCTGCAAACACTCACTAGCTGCGTTTCCATTACCCTTCAAATTGCGCAAATTGAAATTGCGAATTAAAAATACGCTCAATGGAAACACGTCAATTTCGCAAAAACTCCCATTTATCGCAAAAAAGTTTTTACGCTCGCATGAGGTGGTTTTTCAGGCAATTGCAATGGAAACAGTTTTTGCGCAATTACAGTCACCTGACTTAGAAGGCGCGTGTGTTTGGGGTCCGTGTAGGCTATTGCCTCCATTCGTTTTTCCTTTAACTCGTATGAAAAACGAAAAACATGCTTTCTTCTTTATTAGTTTTTAGACTGGTGAAAAAATATTCACATACAAACTTATTTTCCTTATATAGCCTATTGCTTATTTAATTGAAAATCAAATAGGCCTAATTGACATAGGCCTACAACTTTGCGAAATTTGATTTCTGCATTTCATTTTGACCTGGAACATTTAGATAATATGGAGCGTCTGTGAAAAAATAAAATAGCCTAAATGAAAAAAAATCTGTGGCGACGGTTTTGCAATCCGTCCCCTCAAGTTTCTAAACCGTGCCTACTCACGGTTGAGTACAAACTGTTCCCTCGATCGGTTTAACAAATCGTGCCCACGGATTAATAAACTGTAGGCCTATACCCACGATATCCTAATCCACGCTCTCAGATTTGTAAATATCAGTTCTTTGTAATTTCTTGAATTTTCTAAAAAACGACATTTAGCCCGGTACTATCTTTAAAGTCCTTTTTTTGGGGGGGAGAAAAAAGCTCAGTAGGCTATAATAGAATAGCAAAAAAAGACTTCTCATACAAAAAAAGAAATATAACACAACTCATTTTCCAAAACTGTAAAAGGTTATATAAAAATAATACATTCATCAATTATTTATGATAAACATATTACTGTCTTAAGTGAAGTCATTAATAGTTATAAACGCAAATAATAATAATAATAATTATTATAGCCTATTACATTTATTAGGCTACATTTATTAGGCTACATATTTAGAAGGCGCATTTATCCAAAAAAGGAACAAAGCAATTCGTCAAATGTCATTCATAATACAGGTTAGACCATAATAACACAGGGCTAAGATTATCACAAATAAACACAAGATTTTGACGTATATATCCAAGGGTTTGTGCGAAGTGTGGAGGGCGCACTGCATTACGGAGGCTAAAAGCTAAAGCTTGAAATGTCCACTTTTAAACGAACAAATTCAAATCGAAAGCAAATACCTTCTGATTATGTAATCCATATGAAAGGTACATTTCTCTCTTAAGGCGCATCCGCTTTACAGTGGAGATGAAAATATGTTTGCAGTCGGCACTAACACTAGTTTATTAATAAACAATTAAAATGCCTCGTTATTTTTTTCAGACACATTTATTATCATTAGCCTATAATCACCTATAAATCACCTCTCTGTAGGCTATGGTTCCAGAGACATGGCTCTTCTTATTCAGCACTGCGGGAAAAATATCATCGGGTTCTAATTTGGCCTTAGAAAACCAGTAAAATCAACATTTTTTTCATATTAATTTGTGAATATTTTAAATGTTTAATAAAGGGGCAAAAAGTCGTAAACAAAAATCTGAAAATTCGTCTATATTTTTTTGCGCAGCATTTGGTGTGTAGTAGGCTACAGTTCAAATTGAAAATTTGTTGTTCAACTTTGCGCTTTAAAAATACAACAACCGTTCATTTTTCGTTTTTCAATTAGGCTACGGGTTAAAAAAGGAAAAATAAATGGACGCAAAAGTACACGGACCGTTTGGACAGAATATGAGACAAAGTTCTTTATTAAATTCATAAAAGAAAAAAGAATTACAGGAATACTGGATTCTAAACCTCAAAGAAATGCCACAATCAAGACCTTGGAGCAGAAATGAGGGAGAAACACACAGAAACACCTCATGTGCCGTTCACAGTATTAGGGTCTTTCCTTACCATTAATGCTTGGATAACACACCACGTCTCCTTCCATTAATAATAATAATGTCTTGTGCGGTGGCTGCACGTCTATTCACATGTGCTATAAACCTACAAACGTCCAAAGTCGCATAACATCGGCTTATGGAAACGCGTCATTTCGCAATAGTTTTTTATCGATATTTAGAAAAAAAATCGCAAAATTTTTGCGCAAATCTGTAATGGAAACGCGGCTACTGATGCTCAAGAAGGAAGATGATGCATTAAGAGCCAGGGGTGCAAACTTTTGAACAAGATCTGAACACTTTTTCTTATTTTGTTTAAAGATCACTTTTTTTTTTCATTTAGTACTGCCCTTCAGTACAATTTACCCTGATCATCCAATTTAAGAGAATGATTAACATTTTGCCGATTCTGCGAGGGGAGTGTAAACTTTTGAGCACAACTGTAGATGAATCATGTCTCACCATGTATAAAGCGCAGACTGGCTCCAGACAGAGTATATTTGTCCAGAAAGTCCTGTTTATTCTCCTTGCCTTGTTGCTCTTTCCACTTCTGAACAACTCGACTGTAGACCAGATAATCACTGCAGCTGGACCCACTCAGGGCGGCCTTGGCCTACACAGAGGAGCAGTATATTAGCACAGAAAAGAGAACTCGTGCAGAAAAACGGATACATTTGTGAATGCTACAACAGACAAACAGACTCTGACCTTGGAGACGAGGGCCCGGTTCTGCATGCTGTTATAGAAGGGGTCTCGAGTCAAACAGGCTGCCACAGACAAAATAGGAAGAACGCAAGAAAACACAGCGGAGAGGACCAAGACTTTCCCCAAGCGCGGGTCACAGGACATGCAGGCCACGCGCTGTCCCAGCGGAGTCAGATTCTCCGAGCCGTCCAGCACGCCTGACAGACACAGACAGAGAGAGAGAGAGAGAGAGATGAGAGAGAGAGAGAGAGAGAGAGAGAGAGAGAGAGAGAGAGAGAGAGAGAGAGAGAGAGAGAGAGAGAGAGAGAGAGAGAGAGAGAGAGACAGAGAGACAGAGAGACAGAGAGACAGAGAGTCAGTCAGCTCAGCAAAGTCAAAGAGATTACAATTTTCATTTGTACCATGTGCTATAACGTTGCTTAGTTTAAAAAGAAAAAGGAAAAGTTAGGTTGAGTTAACGTAGTGTTAAGGTTAATGTACCATAGAGGTTGTGTATTTGTCTATCTTGTATGTGATGGTAATTTCCATGCAGCAGAACAAATTGACAATACTGACAACAGACAATACAATCTTTTAGTCAAAAAAACAACAACAACAACAACAAAAGTACTGCTAACGACATCTGTTCAGATCAACAATTATGCAAATGTGATGAGGTGTTGAATTGTGTGTGTGTGTGTGTATCATTTATAGCATTGGGATTCATGGTTTTAACATGCACTTCAGCTTTTCAAGCAAGGTTATTATCGACAACTAAAACCTGAAATAAAGGCATTAAGTTAAATAAAATGTCTAATTTTTGTTTAAAGTTGAAGTACTAAAATAACTTGCATTTTAAATGAAAACAAAAATTATAATTAGTAATACATACATACCAAAAAGTAATAGTTAGAAGTAATGAAGTAAATATAGTTTTACTTCTCCCCACTCCATTTCAAGCATAAGTGTATAAGTTATTATTATTATTATTACTATTATTGTGCTTTTTTTTCTGTTGTTACACTCTTTGCTTGAAATAAATAAATAAAAATTAAGAAATAAACAAGAAAACTTATTTTTAAATAAAAAAACACTAATTTATACAAAATATTTCTACTAGGGAAACTGTTACATTATCCTTAAAAATATGATGTGGTCCTCAGGAAATCTTTTCCGGGTGTCTATTTACATCGAGAAGCCCGCATTGTTGGCAGAAGATATTTGCTCCAACTCCGCCCACCATTGTGTGTTTGAGGCAGACAGCATTACAAAAGAAACCTGTCTGATAACAGGAGCTGGGGCGTGGAGAGGAAAGCGACTGACTGCTATTTACAAACAGCTGCTGCCGATCTTTTTTTATTGCCTGAATGAGCTGTGAACTAAAGTGTTTAAATCGGTTTAAATCAATTTAATTAAATGCAAGTCAATGTAACTGTCACATTGTAAAAGGCCAAATGCAAACACATTAATCTAGAAACACCACAGTATATCAGTCTATTGAGAGATGAAATATGATCATGCTGTAACTAAAATGAATGGGAAAATGAATTTTCTCCATATTTTACTGATTGTGTATGAATCAAGAGTGTGTATGTGAATTCGACAGTCACACTGTTGTTGCTCTTGAAAATATTGTCTTCTACAAATGCCGTTCAACAAAATGAACTAATTGCATGATTTAACAGGTTCACTTCGACAGCTCTACTTTCAGCAACATTTAAAACCATTACCGATTTCCATTAGGTTCTTCACAGCAGCTTTCACGGCCTGCCTGTCTGGGGAGTCGAGCACTTGCGACAGGAAGTCCACAGCCTGCATGAGGAAGAATGACAATGTTTTCAATCCAATCAGATCTTGACTATGTCGAGAACTGACAAAATGAAGCCTCTTCACTGTAGGTCAAAACCGTTATTCTGCAAACTGTAAACAGTGACCAGAAAGCAGATTTGAACTAGGGCTGAACGATTAATTGCATTTGCGATAATATCACGATATGATGAAACGCGATTTTTAAACCGCAAAGGCTGCGATTACACTCTGGTCACGTGACACGCGAGAGAAAAGCAGTCTGCAGATGTAGCATCAACTGGCACGCTACGCATATAGGCCTGGCATATACAGGAAAGAACAGTTTATGTTTGATTTATGTGATATTATGTTGTAATATATATATATATATATATAATGTATAATATATTCAGAGAATTTCAGAATCGAGTCTGAGCTTAGTTTTTAAACAGATACGTGATGACGCTGTGTGTGCTTTAGAAACAGCCGTATTCTCTCTCTCTCTCTCTCTCTCTCTCTCTCTCTCGAAAAATAATCTTTCATAAAGTTCGGAAAGGTTTAGTTAAGCGAATTACAAGGACATTCGTGGGCTTTATCGCACTGGTTGCCGCTTTGCTTGATGTTACTCTTGCAGTTCGCGGTTTCACCCGCCAGAATTTCTCACAAATGCTCTACTAAGGCATTTTTATGTCTTTTGGAATGCAGTTGGCTTATATATTAAAAATATGAAAATCACTGAGAAGGCTGCTTTCAATTTAAAATACTTACGCGCGCTTTGTGAAGAGCACTCGCGCATGCGGCTGTGAGCGACTCATTGGTTAATGTACTGGCATCTCAAAATGCTTTTATGACGCGAAATGAATGTAAACGCGGTCAGTCATATCTTAACCAACAGGACAAACCACATCTTATATTTCAAAAGGGATCTGTGCATTAGTGTGAATGCAGCTTATCGTATCTAAACTGAGAAGACAAATCACTCACAGCTCTTGAATGGAAAATGTTCAGACGGCCTACTTTTAAATACTGAAAGCACTCTTTGTTTATTGCTTGTAATATGTTTTTTTCCTCTTTATTTACTAGCTTTTATATTTTGAAGCTATATTCGTTAAAAATTCTTAACATGTTTTTTTAATAATTATTTTTAAAAATACGTATAATTACACAAAGTTTTTAACTGTTATTAATAATATTAATTACGAAAAAAAAGTAGATCATGAGGTGCCTAAAGATTCCCATCCCTACTATACAATGATTTATTGCTTGTCTTTGTCGAATAATACAGAAGACAAAGAACTTAAAAAGTAATCGCATATTAAATCGCAATATTGGTTAAAAAAAAAAAATCGCAATTAGATTATTTTCCAAAATCGTTCAGCCCTAATTTGAACATGGGTTTGCTCCCTCACTTTGCTGTCTGGACAGTGGATCTTGGCTTGTATGACCACGCTCTCCAGAGGGGTGCGCAGGATTTCAGGGATGGGGAACGTGTCCATGCTGTCCAGCTGTTTTCGGGGGTAGAGGTGGTAGGCATGTCCAGGTTGGCAGCGGCCTGCTCTTCCTCTTCGCTGAGTAACGTTTGCTTGTGAAATCCAGACCGTGTTCAGACCAGAGACCTGAGAACACAAAGCAACAATCAGCTTTCAACGGCTTTACTTTTCCTGCTATGCCAGTTCTCATAACTTTAAAGTCGTCACATTGAAATCAAAATGGACAAATCTTGGGGGGTTTTTATGGAATATTGCATTAATTATAAATAGGGGTGGGAAAAAAAATCGATATTGCAATATATTGTTGTGCTCTCTGTCGCAATAAATAATCGATACACTAACGCCCAATATCGATATTTTATTACAACACAAAATGATTAATTTACCCGTTGTCAGTGTCACTGTCACTACCCAATATCTACCATTCTGTTTGCGGGGGGCGCTGTTCGAGTAAATAGGGGTAAAGTGGCGCAAACAGCGGCCAGTGAAGAACACAAGTTAACTAACAACAACAGAGAGAAGCGAGAAGAATGGCGGAAAACAATAAAAAACGAATCAAAGACCCACCCGCTAGTTTCCACTCTAAAGTGTGGAGACACTTCGGGTTTTACGAGCAGAGAGAGCGCAACGGCCGCGCGCGCGCGCACTCTCACGTCTTCAAACAACACGAGCGCTGTCTTGCTCTCTCCCTCGCGCATATTAATCAAAATCAATTGACACGATAGTAAAAGGTCGGAAGACCGCAGTTTCACGTGGAGCATTTGGAGATTTTTAGAGATTAGAGACTCGCCTAAACTCAATGAACAACATCTCAACACTAAATTATAAAGGCCTGTCTCATATAGACGCCTGTCTCGAATACAAGCCGGTGCAGTTCGACGATTGGGAAAATAAAAACCCGGGAAGTTTTACGGTATATTAATTCTCAATATGTACACATGCATTGTTAATCTTTCTTTTCAGTCACATATATCGTGATATATCGTTGATGAAATTTCTTCCAATATATTGAATATCGTAGATATTGCGAATCGTGATATTATCATATCGTGGACCACATATCGCCACAGAATTGAATCGTGAGGTACCTGTATCGTCCCACCCCTAATTATAAACGTGCTCATCATTATCGTTTTAAATTCATGTGCATCAATCTTTAATCAAAATAACTTGCAGCTTCTCTGATAACGAGGGCGGAGCAACCTGTCACTCACATGAGATCAGCCAATAGCAAACCACAACCATCCAATCAATTCCCCACGGACAATATTATGCCCCGCCCCACATTTGTTATCGTTTGAGAAGCAGATTCACTCGTATATACGTCACAACAGGAAAGCAAAGACAATCGTAACTTCCGTTTCATGCCGACTTTAAAGCAGAGGGAAGGACCTTTGTTCTGGGGTCGTAGTTCTGCTCTTTCTGAGAGCCGGCGTCCACCACGTGCACGATGTCGTCTATGGTGATGGACGTCTCAGCGATGTTGGTGGCCAGGACGATCTTCCGCAGGCCCTTCGGAGGGCGCTGGAACACAGCTTGCTGATCCGCTACAGCCATACTGGAGTGCACTGCGGGAGAAACAGGAGAAGCATGTCCTCAAAATGACTGGCATGCATTTCATACACAGAGGAGTGGGGAGGAGTCAAAGACAGATATCCACTCATTTGATTTGATTTAGTGATCAGTCCATATAACAGCTACGGAAATTAATCAGACGATTATGGCTATGTTAAGACTGCAGGCAAAACAGATTTTTTTTTCTCAAATCAGATCTTTTCAAGCAGTGTCCGCACTATTAATTGCAAGTGATCAAATAAGATTTGTGTGTCCAGACATGTAAATGTAAATAAAAGCAGACGCTATTTTTTTTTGCATACCGTTTGCATATTTTCTTTGTTCAACATTAGATATGACTGTTAAACAGAGACCATAAAGTTTAAACTAATGAAGAAGACAGATAATGTGAGTGCCACCCGTCAAAGTAAAAGTCCTGTTTCTAACATGTCGGCCAATAAGAAAAACTTATCGGCTAATGCTGATATTTTAAAAACACTGAATATCGGCTGAGGCGATATATCGGCCGACCACTAGAGGTTATATATATTAGTATGTCCCGTGTTCTGTGCTGTAATCACAGGCAAAATCTTTGGACACACCGTTTGAATACCGTACGAGTACTTCCGACATTTCTGTCACCAGTTTTGACGTTATCGTTTTGTTAAGAGTGACCACCTCCAAATGTGGTTTGAATCTGATTTCATGTGTTCTTTTGCTGTCCAGACTTTCAAAAACACATTGGTGATTGATATCATAGCCATAGAGTGCTGTAGAGATGACGTTTTTGGTAACACTATTTTACAGTGTCTGTTACGTTGCATGTACTGTAATAATAACCGTAAATTATACATGATTACATGCAACTAACCCTAAACCAAACCCTAACCGCATGTTGTTAATATCACTCAGTATTTAAATGTATAATTACACTGTAGCTAAGACACCTTAAAATAAAGTTAAACATTTTTGTAGGCCGAAACCTAGAAAACAAAATTACATTTGAACATTTCCGGTTCCGTCTTTCTTAAGTCAATGTTTTTTGTTTTTGTTTTATGGGTTTTTGGTTAAATGTCTGAAATAAGGTCTGTGGTGAACACAAGCTCAAGATATTTTAATGTTTTATTCATCAGTAATACTCCCTGGTGATATTTTTAAAGATTTTACTTGTCTTGGAAAAGGTGGTTGCTAACAAGAGGCTAAGAGGCTGTGTTCATTTGTGAAGATTATCATGATGAACAAAACGTGTAAGAATAATACGTTTTTGTTATGCCGAGTTCGTAGGGTGTCGTGGGTATTCGTAATGGGCGTCGGGACTCAAGGATTGATCGTTACATCTCGTATAGCGAGTCATAGTGTACGACAACTGATGCCACGTCTGCGATGCCCAGACAAAAAGACTAGCATTTTTTATCTTTTTATCAGTCCTCCACGACGGGTTCCGTCACATCTGTGACTTTGACCAATAGGAGCACAGAAGCTCCGTACACAGCTTTCAAACACGGCGAAACGAAAGAGAGACGATTGTATTGGTGCTGCTAGTTGGAGGACAGATTCATAGAGCTACGGGAACAATACTCCTGCCTTTATGATGTTTCCTCGAGGGACGACCATGACAGAGAAAAAAAGAGAAATGATGGCGGTGGCGTTTCCACAACCGGGCGAGTACTGAAATTAGCATTAAGGTAACGCCGCTTCGGTAGCCATTGTGTGTTTACGCTTTGACGACATGTAAAGAATTCAGGAGTCAAAATCACATAATCTGACACCTTGACTGTCGTGACAAAAATATTGTGTAGTCTAAACCTTATTTTCTGCAATAATCCAAACGCCAATGGAAAAATCCTATTGGGTTTTAGTCAAGGGAACCAGGATGATGATGACTTATGGCTGACCTATACAAATACATCATCACTGAAGCGCTCGATTTGGCTATTATAAAACTTTCTGCATTGACCAATAAATGGTGTCCACTTGGCTGATTAAAAGAAATGTTAGCTCCTATGCTAAAGTATAATATGATATAAAAGTACATTATTTTTGAGTTTGCCATTATTCAATATTTGATCAAATGAAGGCATTGTATCAGTCATCCTCAGAGAAAGCTGCAGCCGGTGTGCTTACACGGTAAAATCATCTGTGAGCCTGATCTGTACGCCGCTCTCTCCTCCAGTTTCTGCTGTACGAGTTTAATGTCTTGCCATCCTGGGAGGAAACACAACACAGCGCCTGGAACAGAGACAACACTGTTAGTCAGAATACAAGAGAGCAGACAGAAGAGCAAAAGCTTGAGCAGACACAAACATTTAACGTCTGTTATGGACGAATGTGTATTCTTAGAAAAAAAAAAAAGTGAGTTCTTGACTCAATTTTAAAGAACTCTCTATATGCCCAAAAGGTTCAATATAAGGAGAAATGTCATTAATGATTGCACAATACTTTTTTTATTTGGTAATTAACCATTTTTAATTGGTAATTCCTGAATTAAATGAATAAAAACAACATTAATCAGTTACAACTAAATACATAAAATTATCCTATGATAAAAGGTTCTATATGTGAAGTGCCTGACAGAAAGAACCCTTTATGGTTCCATATATAACCTTTTTATTTCTAATGGTGTGGTTTGTTTTCAGGAAACTCAGCCATTTATGTCCCTTTTAATTAATATTGATATTATTAATGGGAAAAAACTCTAACCACATCTGTTTAATAGTGTGACTAAGTTTAGTGTCTAATGCAAATCACAAAAATATTATTTGTCATTTATGTCAATTGCAATTATTATTAATAAAAATATTTTTATGGGGTTAATAAAGAAATACCTTGCTATTGCAATAATACATATAATTGTACTGTATATTTTTAAAAAATCAAGCGTTTAATAATCATAATATATTAAAATACATATTATAATAAAACAAAGTATTAATAAACTTATTACTTTTAAAAATTAGTATTATCTTTATTATTATTTCATTTAAATTTACAGAACAGTAAAATTAAAATACTAACATTTATGGTTGTCCTAATTTCTTTGCTTTCAAACTTTAAACCATTGAGCTTTTATTTTGGCATAAAACCACGGGGAGACCTCAACGCTTCTCTTTGTTGACAACAACAGATTTATAAAAGATTCTCATTACGAATTTGGGAAGATGGTTGGCACGTGTTGCGTTCCCAAATGCAAATTATAAGCGACAAACACACAGCACATGCAGAGTAGCATTTACTGTGAACTGAAAATGAACACGTTTCTTTACTCTGAAACATGCAGCGTGTCGGACTATATATTTATATAATTACATCACAACCGTTGCAATTTGATAATCGCACTAAGCCATATATCACTCAGAAAAACCACGCACTGTCAAAATTAATAAAAATAAATACCAGGAAAATACCGATTTTTACTCTCATTTGGCGCTTTGAACCCTAACATGCTAATAGTGTCACACAGATGTTGCAGCGAGCAATCCGTGCTTAAAATGTTTTCGAAAACATAATATTTTGCAGTTTATTTAGTAATTGTTTAAGGCCATTCAGTGATTTCAATCAGCATAACCTGTCAAATAAAATGTTATTAATTCCAAAGAGTTTACTGTGGCAAATTTAAAACAATGCAGCAGGTTAGAAGACAAATAAAAGCCCTGAAACATTCCAAGCCAAATCAAAGAACGAACTGGTATGACGTCGTCATTTCGAACAAAATCAGGCCCAAACGAAGTTTGTTTCAGGAGTTCAAAACAGCTTGATGAAGTGAACTGTGGAAAAGTTTGCTCTGGCTGATAAACAGCTTTAAACTGCCATTGGTCCGTGGTGACGATAAATAGGTAGGTGTGTCTTTGAGGCTCCGCCTACTTTGACGCGGAAATCTAATTGCTAATAGTGTTCACCTTCCTACTTTGGTAACCATGAAAACTTCACCAAACTCTTTTAACTGTTTGATTGTTAAAACAACACTTATTTTAAAATAACACTTAATGTCAACATTTCTTCTCCTTATCCAGTCCTTTGCAAAGCATGCTGGGAACTAGAAACCCGCCGCCCAACTTCAAAAGTTAAAGACAATTTTATTAAGTTACTACAACTTTATTTTGTTTGTCCCCTAACATCTATGCTGGTTATGGCCCTGGTACTTGAGCTTGAAGTGGGAGAATATGGTTTCATAAGAATAGCAACAATAACCTTTTAAGTAAAATGGTTTTCCTGAGAACTGCTGGTGTGTGTGTGTGTGTGTGTGTGGGTGTGTGTGTGCAGTCAACAGATTCAAACTAAATGTTTAACACTGGTAAATGCATTTAGTGTGTTAATATACAGGGCCTATTTACACTTGACACTTCATGCGTCTTCTCTGATCAAATATCCATTCGATTTGTTAATTGTTCCATTTTCAATTGGCCACATTAACGCGTCTCCACAAAACGATTATGAATCCGATCTTCAATTCCCACACTATGCAACTTCAAGAGTTCATGTCACCAAAGGCAGCAGATATGAACTGCATTTTTCTATCAGACAAAACACATGAAGTGTCCAAGTGTAAATACCGTAGGCCCAAAGATGATCACATCATCTGCTTTGTGCCCCCTTGAAATCCTCTTTACCTGGCTCTCCAGACCTGTGAATATGGCCAATCACATCAGCCACCAGATCAAGATCAGGAGCCACGTCTTTTTCTTCCTTGAGACGAAGAATAAAAGCAAATCCTTACAGCGTGAACCACACAAGCAAACCAGATGATGTGTTTCAGCCTTCATCTGAACGTACCGCCCCGTTCCTCTTCTCCCTGCTCCTCTCCAGGAGCGGTCGACCCATCTCGCTCATCACATCCTCCAGGTACCTCGCCTGCACCGGGTGCATGAATCCAGGCACACGCACCACTGGGCATCCGCCGAAATACTGAGCCAGCCGGCGAGTGTCTCCGGTCGCGCTCATCAGGACCACTCGCAGCTCTGGGTTCTCCTTCAGGACGGAGTGCAGCAGGGCCAGGAGCAGGTCGGTGTTGACGTCTCTCTCGTGGACCTCGTCCACCACGACGTGGCTGACGCCCTGGAGGCCGGGGTTGGACTGTAGTTTCCGCAGGAGGACGCCGACGGTGAGGAAGAGCAGAGCGCCACCGCTGCGCTCAGGAGGACGAGACTCGAGACGCACCTGGAAGAGCCAGAGACATGTGTTTAAGTCTCAAGAAAAGGACAGGTAACTTTACATCCCAAATGTGATGGGATAATAAAATAATATGCTCTAAGGCAGAGTGATCATTGTTGACTAAGACTCTCTCTCTCTTTCTTAGCGTTATTCCCACTCATTTTGCAGGGTCCGCTTCACACACACATGATTTAGCACAGGTTTTACTTCGGATGGCCTTCCTGTCACATTCACAATCACACTACGACAGTTAACTAAGACTAAAACCATACATAAAAAATAAAAAAAAAACTATTACTTGAAATAAAACGTTTTTTTTTTTTTTTTGTGCTGTCAAACGATTCAAATATTTAACCGCGATTAATCACATTAATGTCATAGTTAATGTAATTTATTCTAAATGTCTCTTGATTTCTTTTTGTCCCATTATTTTTTCTCATTTTACTGCTCTTATCAACATGGAAAAGTGGATCGGCTTGCTTTGTGCAAATGTTTTTTATTGAAAACAACATTGGCATAAACTGTGTTCAAATTCACACTAACATTCTCACTTGGAGCAAATAATCTCTCACGCAATGTAACACTGTCCATCAATAAAAGGGTGAAAGAAATACTGACGAGGTCCTGATATTGACGAGGGGGCGGAGAATTCGCATCAGCTGTGTGTGTGTGTGTGTGTGTGTGTGTGTGCTTGGCCATCATCAAGTGGTATTTCAGACTGGACGTGCTGCGATGATAACTCGACAAAACACACAGATCACTTTGGTCTTGTCAATGGAACCATTTGGCAACTTTTTAAAAGTAAACTTTCCATTCAGAATCTTATTGGCATCCATTTCGGCGTCTCGCGCTCGTCATCCACTCAAAACGTAACGTTAACCAACTATTTGGCCGGCTCGCAAGCCCAAACAAGTGTGTGCGGCGTGCCTGTTGTTTTGTTTCCGGTCTAGCTAGATCCGCTTGCGCTTTGGTCGACGAAGCAACAAAACGTCCTCGCGCGGCGCAAGTCATTGAAATGAATGGGTTTCATAACGCAGCGCCGCGCATGCCGCAAAAGCATGTGAAAAAAAAAATACAAAGTTTGCTAGGCCAAAAAGGCCGTTAATCGCGCGATAAAAAGATTTACGCCATTTAAATTTTGGGGTTTGCGTTAACGCCGTTAATAACGCGTTTAACTGACAGCCCTAGTTTTTTTGTTTGTTTTTTTAAAAGATACCAAGGAAACATTTCTCATTTAGCTTGTGTACTAAAACAACTAAAACAAACGTTAATAAAACTATATACATATTATAAAAAATCTAATAAAAACAAAATTACTAAATCTTTAAGAAAATTTCTAATGAAAACAGAAAATATATCAAATAAATATGGTAAAATATTTATACAAACTATAATAGGATCTCAATGATACTAAAACAATAGTCTTATTCCTGTCAAATGTACTTTTTAGTTTTTATCATATTTAGTCCACCTTGTCCTGTTTTTCTTTTTAGTCTAGTTTTAGTCAATGAAAACTTGGTAAGATTGATAATCACTATTTTTTTTGCTCAAAATTATAATCAATTATAATAAATAGAAATGTTTTTAGCTATCACCTATAAGCACATCAAGAGAATGTGAACCCACATATATGCATGGTTTATTTTCTTGATTTATTATAGGCTATTTATCATACTCTACTGGTAAAATGAGAAACTTTTCTCAAAAATTTAAACAGTGAATTCCTAGTAATCCAATCATTCCAAATTACATGAATGTTTTTCTATTAAAACAACAGCAAAAAGACTTTGTATTGTTATTACACAGAGTAAATGCAGTTATTCAGCAAAAACAATCAATGATCAATGTTTGGATTTATTACAGTTATGTTCATCACTGAAGGTTTGATCGCAGCACACAGAGCAAGTGGCTCGAGACCGAACACAGACCGACTGAGTAACACTTTCATTTCAGAGCTGTCAACTGAACTGCAAAGCTCTGAAATATTGAGTAAAACAGGGTAGAAAACGTGTGCTTTTAACAGTAAAGCTCTGATTGGAGGATTTCAATTCTCGAAATCTGGCAACTAGAATGAGCTCGGCTTGTTAAAAACAGTCTAAAGTTTTGTCTCTTTTATTTAACAAAAACAAAGAGTGATTTTGGTCAAGTTTTTTATTTGATTTTGAAACTACATTTTAGTGTCGTCTGAGTTGTCAATGATATCGCATCATGTTGATATAATCAGTTATCATTTAAAGATGTCGTCTCGTTTAGTCATGGAAAGATTTCTTTAACGAAATGAACACTACTTCTGAAAAAAAGAAAAAGTAAGTATGGGCAGGGACTTGGTTCTATCCACCAATTGTTGATTGGATGTTGAGATGACACTTCAAAATGGAGGTGTCGACAGTAAGAAGGGGGCGGGGTTTAAGCAGACTAAATGATTGGAGAAGTCCTACGTACGTCACCAGAGAGATCTTCCATTACACCGGAAGATCCAGTTATGCCATTGATTAAAAATACAAGGTCAACAAATCACAACTTGTGCAATAATATCATTTGTATCATATAATAAAACCAATGACACGCATTTCTAAAATAGATAATTTGACTTAAAGCAAATAAAGCACAGATTTCGGACCAGATTGAAAGGGCAGAATGTTTTGGGTGTTCTTGCCTGGTATCCCACAAATTGGCGGAGGGCGGGTCCCATCTCCTGCGCCACACGCTGCGCCACAGACACGGCACTGATGCGGCGAGGCTGTGTGACCAGGATGTTGCATTTGGCCCCGTCTCCGCTCCTAACGCGCCCCTCCAACAGGAAGCGTGGGATCCGCGTGGTCTTCCCGCAGCCCGTCTCTCCAGCGATCACGACCACCTGTGATGACTTCACCGCTGCGAGCAGGCTCTCTTTGTAGGAGTCCACCGGAAGCTCCACCCCTCGCCCAGGCCCCGCCCCCGCCCACAGGCCGAGCAGCCGGTCGCTGAGACTGTCCTCCTCCTCGGGGCGCAGAGTGCGGTATGGCTTATTAGTAATCACATCTTTAATGAAGTCGTCCTCATCATCATCATCTGAGCTGATGGAAGACGACTGAACTGACAGCTGCTCCTCTTCATCCCACAACTTCTGAACTTCAGCCTCCACTGGATGCTGAAACATATCAAAAAGTTATGGTGCTACACAATTATTAAAATAATTGAATAAACATGTAAAAAAAAAAAGATGGAGCAGCCAAAGTTCATATCCAAAAATGAAGGCAAATAAAATGTATTGGTAACACTTTATTCTAAGGTTACAGTTACATGTACTTGTTATATTTATACCAGTAAAATATGCATAATTACAAGTAACTAACCACCAACCTAACCCTAACCGTGACTATAGTAAGTACATGTAGTTAATTATTATTAATCAGTACCGTATTGTTCAGAATATAAGACAACCCTGATTATAAGACGACCCCCCCCCTTTTTTAAGATGTACCTTTTGGAAAAGTTAAGAAAATGCTTTTATTTGAAAATAACTTCCATAATGCACATTTTTCATATTTAAATTTTTGTATTGAAAGTATGGTAAATACCGGTAAAATGTACCAACCATCACATTAAAAAATAAACACTTTTATAAAAAATAACCTGTAATCCTGAATATGATAATAATTAGGCGATCCATCTCAGTGAAAACCATGTAGCCTACCAACATTTTATTAACAGGAGAAGTGAAATCTTATTAGTTTTGAAATCTGGGTGCCGTTTTAAAGTCACGTACGGGGGAAGTTTGGTCCCGTCAGCAAGCCACGAAAACATCACGCTTCTCTTAGACGGTAAGCTTTTCTTTGATTTTAAGATCATGATCTTCTAACATTACACCCTGACACACCGTATTTCTACCCACACTTGTTTTACGAGTATTTGACGCCACCGATTGTTGCGCGTGTATTATTGACATGTAAAAGTCTAGATCCTGAATATAAGAAAATACAGTTTTTCAGATGCATTTCTAAAAAAAAAAAAACAGTCTTATATTCAGAACAATATGGTACTTGTTTGAGTAAATACAATGTAACTAGGTCACCTTAAAATAAAGTGTAACCAAATTATTTGTGAACGTACATAATTATGAGGTGTTTATCCATTATGTACCTAGCGCTAAGTGAAACCCGGATTGGCCAGAGTGAGTTCTCATGCATGTCACCTGTGCGAGGTACTGTTGAATCCTCTGTTCCAGATCCTGGGGTATTTCGACACGGCAGGGTCGCCTGTGCCTCTCGCCTGCTTCACGCACCTCCTGCTGATGGTACCTGGCGTGAGTCAGAGGGTTGTTCTGCTCGTCCAGAAGCTTCAGTTCCTGTGGGCAGAATCAAACCAGTCAGCTGGTGAATATTATTATCATTATTAGTTCAAGGAGACATTCAAAAGCTGCATTCAGCCATCTCAGAAATATGAAAACTAGAAGTTCATACATTGGATTAACAAGTTTGTTAACATAACTTGTATTTACACATTTCTAACAGAGCAGCGTTCGCTGAAGCGGCGGCACGCACAAATAAGTACGACCGGTGTAGTCGGATTCACGACTCTCGTGAGCAGACTCTCCAAAGCCTGTTAACCGTCAAGTGGTGGCAGGACAGTTGGCCTGCTTTTTATATTCCCTATTTTCCTCATCATATTTTAGGTATAATTCGCACTCTTAAACACAAAATAAATTAAAATGTGACATTGTATTACTATGGAAATGGCACTTTAAAACCTTTAAGCGACAACATTTTTGTGATACCAACTCCAAACTTGGAACACAGCATGGTTAGACACATGGCTTTGATTTATGGCTTTTTGTGGCTTTTGATTTATCATTTAAATCAACCAAATCAAATAAAAATGTTCAGTACATCCAAGTGTGGTGCGCGAGAGCATGTCAGGGGAGGCGCGGAGTAGGGCTGGTCAATGGGTTTTTCTATATAGTTTATCTGTGTGTAAATATATCTGTGCAGCGCAGGACTGCTCAAACACGATAGAGCAGCAAAGAAACAGATGAACGAGAAGAAAGAGCGGGATGTGCTTGACGAAAACCACAATAAACTGTGAAAGAGAACTGGATTCGGTACCGACAGGCGGCTCTCTGTGGCGAAGCACAAGACTGCTGAATTCAGTTCACTTTCACGGCTTATTGCGCTTCAACGGTCAAATACACACATTTGTGTCTCAAATGTCCGTCTTGGTAAGTATTCACATAAACACAGCCAGTTGTGTCTAAAGTGAAAGTAAACTATCATTATATCGGACCCATGCAATCATGTATGTTGTGTTAGAAGGGAGGCCCACTGTCTTTGACTTTGAAAACCCCTGCTTTACCGTAAACTTCCACTTCTATAACTTTGTTACACATCCACTTTTTGAAGCTGCTTTAACTTCTGCAATAATCTCCTGAGTGTCTGTCCTACACAAACCAACCTTGAACCGGAGACAAGCCAGTGCTGCTGCTTTAGACTCCGCTTCCAGTCTACGCCGGCCGTGAGCTGTAAAGGTCATCTCCTCCGGCCAGCGTAAGGTCAACTCGCATGTCTTCACCGTCCCACCAGTCGTCCTGTACTGAAGCAGCTCCTTCACACGGCAGAGCGGAGAAACAAACAGGAGAATGAGAAAATCAATGAGTGCGTTTACATGCACGTTCTTAACCCGATTAAGCTGACAATGCATGTGGTCATGTAAATGTGCTAACCCATTGTCCTTTATCGGAATAAACAGCTTAAGCGTGAACCAAACACATGCAGCAACATTTTCTGCACCGATTTCGCCGGCATATAAATAAGCGCGTTTCTTTGGCTTATTGAAGTGCACGTGTGTGACATGTGACAGGAAAGCATCCTTACTGTGGATTTAACCGCATCCAGACAGAGCGAGCGTTTCGCGGGAGGGGAGGAAGAAATACATCGCAAACTCTTGGCCCACGAAATTAAAAAATGGGTCATCTCATGCTGCTAAAGTAGCGGTTCAGTCTAAATACTGTTTAGAGCTTACTTATTTAAAGGGATAGTTCACTTTGAAATTAATTTTTGATATGTTTTAGCTTACCTCAAGGGCATCCAAGATGTAGGTGTCTTTGTTTCCACAGTATTTTCAATTTTGTTATTTTTAGGTCAAACCGTTCTTGTCTGTCAGTCATATAATGCAGGTCTATGGTCACCACCTCAAAGAGCATGCACAGAGAAGTCCAAATTAAACATGATTTAATGACTCGTAAATGTAAGAACACATTGATGGCCTAAGACACGAAACGAGCGGTTTGTGTGAGAAAACGAACAGTATTTATATCATTTTTACCTCTTGTAAACACAGCCACGTCCAAGTGATCTGAGGGCGCGGGCGCTTCGGTCTTTTCCGGCAAGCGCCGGAAGTGATCTCTCGCGCGTGTACGTCACTCATTGTTTACACAGAACAGAGATTGTAGGTAAGACGGCTAATTAAAAGGGTACTAATTTGCGCTTATCTGGGATGTTTAAACCGTCGTAAAAGAAAACAATAAAAAAAAAAAAAAAAAAAAATATCAATTGTGTGAGTGACGTACATGCGCGAGAGATCACTTCCGCCGCTTTCCGGAAAAGACCGAAGCGCCGGCGCCCTCAGATCACTTGGACCTGGCTGTGCGTTACAAGCGGTAAAAACGATATAATACTGTTCGTTTTCTCACACAAACCGCTCGTTTCGTGTCTTAGGCCATCAATGTGTTCTTACATTTACGAGTCATTAAATCATGTTTAATTTGGACTTCTCTGTGCATGCTCTTTGAGGTGGTGACCATAGACCTGCATTATATGACTGACAGACAATAACGGTTTGACCTAAAAATATCAAAATTGAAAATACTGTGGACACAAAGACACCTACATCTTGGAAGCCCTTGAGGTAAGCTAAAACATATCAAAAATTAATTTCAAAGTGAACTATCCCTTTAACATCACATCTCACATAACAAATGGAATCATTCAGGTAAACAAATTATTAAGTTTTAACGTCACTACTCACTAACAGGGAATGACTTGATTTTTTAATAGAGTCTTCTAAACACGGTTTACTTGCTTTGCTGTTGGTTTGCATATAAACCAAAACAACTGGTTAATTCAATAAACTGATTTCTGGGACTTGTCAGCGTAGCGGTCTGTATTGTAACATGCTTGTCTGGTCTTTTTGTCAGATGTGTGTGCTGGTCAACAACAGTCTCGAACTCACTCTGACTCTGCAGGATGATGTGGCGACCTGAACGACACTACCCAGAAGTGCCCTCGGCTTTGGAAACATGGAGAGTGCCTCGTTCACCGTCGGATCCTCTTCTATTGGCCTATAACACGTCAAATATCAGATACAGATGGACATCAGAACAAATGCACAGACATGTACAACAATGATGTATCAAATAATGTGTCAAATCTATGTGAGAGTAATGTATTGAACCATAGCATATGGAAAACTGGACTCATGTGACAACGACGTGATGAAGGATTTCTGAATCTGATCTCCAAAGCATTCTTTCTGCCAGTGTGAACAAAGACCAAAAGCCAATTCGGACAGTAACTGTTTCTCATGAAGACGTCTGTAAAAATAAATTTGCACTGTACAGTGCTAGCCTGGATGCCAGCCAAAACCCCGCACACAACATTTTTTGGTCGGGAAGTTCGGTCTGGACTCGATCCATTGAGTAATTATGATCGGTTCAGAATTAGTCGGGCCAATCAAATTGCCTGGGCGGGCTTTATACGATGATGGACAGATGATCTGCAGTTACGTAATCATCACGTTATCAAAGAGCGCTTGGGTTGAACTGGTTTCCCTCAGAGATGACTGCAGCTGGAGAACTGAGATGTATAGATTCCGCTATCGCGTCTGTTGTAAAAGAAATCGACAGCGCATTCATTTTAATAGACGAACAGAGAACTGTAATCAAGGCATTTGTCGATCGGAAAGATGTGTTTGCCGTCCTTCCTACGGGATTCGGCAAAAGTTTATTTTATCAGCTGGCTCCGATGGTCACTAAGAAGATGGGACGCAATGAAAACCCTGTGGTCGTTGTGGTTTCTCCTTTGGTCGCACTCATGGAAGACCAAGTAAAAGAAACAACACTCATTATTTTACTACTTCCAGCGTGCGTGTAGTTCTGTTGACAATTTGCGTATCTCATAAAAAAACACTTACTGCGTTGCTCTGATTGGTTGTAGGTCTATCCAATTGAGTGCAGAGTTGTTTTTTTCCTAGTTCGGTTAAGACACGCCTCATAATCAAAGCCCTATGGAGCAGTATCAGACTCACATTCTGACTAGAATATGAGTATGACGAAGTCAGGCTAGTACAGTGCATGGCAGTGGTTAAAAATATTTACAACAAGACTTTTGGATTGATCTCTTCTTGCATGTAATTTAGCCAGGACTTTTTACACGTGTGTTGGGAGAAAAACACGGACATTCTGGAATCAGATGGCAATAAAAATCCCAGACTAGCCTCTGTAAATGCTGAAAATACCTTACATCCCCATGAGAAACAATTACCCTCGAAATGGGGCTCAAGCACATCTGCTAACACAATGGGATACCTCAGGGATCACTGCTTGGCCCCATCCACTTTTTAAAATACAGAAAAATCACTAGAACATATTAATTAGGCACATTGCTTTTGCTTACTACATCACTAACAAGTGTCTATCCTTGCACGAATATTCCGTCAGTGATGTGTTCCAATGTAAATTTCTGGACCTGTAAGTATTTTATGATTTGGTGACTACAATCTCATTTGCAGTTTTCTTTTTACACATTTCATTCATCTATATACTTGAATATGACTGGAATGATGAACATGAAATGATAAACTCAGGTGGATTATTCGGGAAGAGTATTAGACTACCCTTGGGCTCGTTCCTTCCGTGTTTTCTTCTGGAAAGGCAGAGACTCATCATCTTCTTCTTCATCTACCCAGACAGATGTCGGCCTCCCTTTCGGCCTCGTCTTTCCTCTAACGGATGGTTGCTTTCCTTGACCAAGGACTCCCAGCTCCTAAAGACACAATGCACAATTTTCAGGATTACTAAACCTACAAACAGTGTTGTTGCAGCAAGCAACTCTTCATCATGGGCTATACTACATATAGAAAAAGAAGCAAGCAAGAGACCATGCTGTATTTAAAAAAAAAAAGTTTGAATTTAATACTGTTTTCCATACTCGTTTCATGAAATTACAATGAATAGGGACCAAAGATTGAGCTTTAACCCTTTAGAACCGGCTGTGTCGTCGCCGACACAGACAAGCAAGCTGTATTAATTGTACCGTAACTCTTCAACCGTTCGCACTATCAAAACCATTCAAATTGCCCCTGACAGTAGACAACATGCGCTTTTCGGCAATATACGGCTTATTACGGTAATTCCGTCAGCAAATGACAGCAGCTTTCTGGCAGAGCGGGAAGGAAGGATTTGAACAGAGAGATACGAAGCGCGTCAGGTTAGAGTGTTTTGGATTGCATAAAATAGTAAAAGAAACTAACAAATACATCGCGAAAGAAGTGGAAGACAGCAGAAGAGGGGATTGGGATGATTTTTAATGAAACTTGGGAGGCGGATGGCCGTTACTCTTTCACATATCTTAGCATGTGGTGTATGCATGTGTATGTGTGCGTGCCTATGAATGGACGCATTTGTATGTGTGTGTGCGGGTATGAAAAAAAGTGTCCTAAATGAAAACTGTGCAACCCAATGTCACAAAAAAGACTTGTATCTGATGTATTATACTTCATTTTTCAACTTTAAAGTGTTAGTTCCTTCCGTTTGTGATATTTCTGTTTTTTTCTAAATAAAAATCAGAAAATGTATTCTCGTTTTTTAAAATTTTTGTCTATTTAAATTCTATTTACAAACTCACCACACACAATAATGGTCAATAACTGTAATTTGTTTAAAGCTAATCTTTTTCTGAAAAAGATGACACCTTGCACATGAAGATAGCACATTATTTTAGAATTTTACAGTCAAAGAATAAAAATGTGTGAAAAACACCTATTTTAGCTTCAGGTTCTAAAGGGTTAAACATGAAGCAAAAGCACAATAAAAGAGGAGTCCATACAACTCTTGCACTATATTATCCCATTCTTAAAGTCCCCCTGTGGTGAAAATCCAGCTTTTAATGTTGTTTATACATCTATGTAGTGTTTTTAATATGCTTTAAGACAAACCATGTGTAAACTCATTAGTCGACAGCATTGCTGAGTATTTTCTGCTTAAAACCGCAGTGGACCAAAGATCGCTGGTGTTTCTGACGTCACAAACGACCTTGTAACCAATCAGATCAACGTGTGATCGTCAACCAGTGGATCTCTGAGCTGAGTGAGTGAGTGGAGGCAGGGCTCATTTGCATATTCATAGAACCACGTATACTAAATGAGGCAAGGGTGTAGAGTAACACTCTCAGGCTATTTGAAGGCATGAAGAGATTTTTTTTCCAAGAAAAAAAAAACTTTAACTGTGTAATTTTGGTGATCAAAGGTCAGTTTTAAGGGATAAAATTATTGACTACAGGGGGACTTAAAGTCATGAACTGGGGAAGATTATCAGGGAATAACAACAAGGCTTTAATAGACTTGGAATACAGTGCACAAGTAATATTGACTAGTTTTATGAAACGTTTATTGTGCTTTTGCATCCCCATTCATGGCCATTACATGGAAAATATCGAACTTCTCCTTTAAGGCCCAAATATACTTCAAGCTAAATTAAACTATAAAATTATAAAAAATTAAATGATAAAACTTAATTTTATTCTATGAGTGTCATTTAAAACAAAATCGGGCTGAAACTAAGTTAATTTGGATGTCATTTCGGGAGGCTTGCCAAGGTGCCCTATTCTATGAGTGTTTGCTCTGGTGGAGGTGCTGAAGTGACTCTACATCTCACACTTACTCTGAGTTTACACAGAGCAGCAGCTGCTGCTTGACGCTCGGCCTCCAGCTTACGAGACCCAAAGCCCTCCGCCTCCATCGTCACGGGCCACTGGAGGGTGACTGTTGCTCTCTGAAAGACGTTGTGAGAAAGTGTACAACAAATACAATGGTATTACAATATTCATCACACAGTAACGTTTCATAAGCTATAAAACATGCTTCTTTATTTGAATGAGCTGTCCAGACCAGGGATTTTTTAGGCTGTGTTCACACTTGGCATGTTTGGTTGGATTAAAACGAATCCTGCTCTGTTAGTGCGGTTCATTTGAATAAGTGTGAACGCTGACATCCGAACCCTGGTGACACCAAACAAACAGAGAATGCAGAAAAGAAGGGTCTTGGTCCACTTCCAAGCGAACTCTGGTGTGGTTCGACTGAAATATGAACGCAACACGGACCAAAGACATCAAAGTGAACAAAAAAACAGACATGATGTCACAAGATGCGACCCTAAAAAGGACAGAAAGCTCAAAGCATACCTGATTTTTCTTGTCATATCGCAAGTTGGCCCGTCACAGGCATCAGAACCGCGTCTCCTCGCAGCAGATCTTGGTTTGTGTGTGTGTGACGGAGGGATTCCTGACGCTGTTTTGACTCCTTTACACTCTTCACGAGTTCTCAGCTGGTCAAAATACCATCATATGTAGTTACGCACACACAACGAGCGCATTTAGCCCAGAACACAGCATTGTTTTGGATGCTCGGTAAGTTCCGTCTCGAAACCGATCAGGTTGTGAACATCCCTATGCCTTTTAGGTTCGGTCTTAAAATGCAAATCTGAACGCTATAAGTACTAAATGTTGTTTTGTTTTTTTGGTCCAGACCAAACAAACCAAGCGAACCGAACTACAAGTGTGAACACAGCCTAATCTGCCACAGACCCCCATATATGATCATTCCATTGGCGAGGGACCCCCATCCTAACATTTAAAAGGCAGCGTATACATACAAATTATGTATAAAGGCCCAATTTATACTGTAAAAAATAATGTGTAATATATTATGTGGAAAACATTTAGTTTACATTTTTTACTCACAATAGCACTGTATTGTGTATTATTTATTTATTTATTTCTAAATCTAATTTTATTTTATTTTAATCTTTTTTTTTACTTTTATAATTCATTGTAATTTGTATTTATAGATCTACTAATATCGAACTTATTTTAAACAAACACTTATTTTATTCATTTATTTATATCAAATGTACATTTTAATCTATTTTTTATTTATTTTAAAAAATATTTACATTTTTATATACTGTTTTTCTTAAAACATTTCCCCGAATCCCCGTTTTTTTTTTTCTTTTACGACGGCTCATAACTTTCAGACCTGAATTATTTCCACAGAGCAAATTGTTTTTTGTCCACTACAATGGACATCACAACTGAAACAACATAAAATCCTCATATTTTAACCATAAATATGAACTAGAGTTTGTGAACTAGTGTTATTTCAGGTCTGTGTTTTAGCTAGGCTCACAACTAACTCATGAGGTTCCTGCTGATATCTTTTAACACCTGATGTCCATTGTGACAGGCATTAAACTTTTTTTAAAATCCTGTTCTGCAACTCTGAAATATCTTCAAAATAACATTGAATATTATCACTTGATGCTATTAAGTTTATAATAGGCGAAAGTTGATGAGGCTATCAAGAACATAAATGTGCATATAAAATATAAAAAGGTTGGTTACCCAACCATGCCTGAAGCTCAATCAGATTTAGTTAGAGGGCGGTATCTTCATTGTGATTGGTTGATCAGAGACCAATCAGTGAGCAGGCATTACTCATGTTATAAAACATAAAAATGTTTTGGTTTACACCAAAAACGATGTGATATCCATTCCAATGGCCGCAGGGTCTGAAGGGGTTAAATGAGTTACATAAAATGTAGATTGGTCTAATTTGAAACCGAAAAGTGAGAATGATTACCCCTAACGAACTGCTATAGTTAGGTCATTCTAGCTCTTTAGACACAGTCTTATTATAACTGTAATGTCAAAGCAACTGTCCCAGAGAGGCTCTAACCTTGACCTCCCCATCGCTGCAGCTGTACTGGATGTACTCGGACAGATCGGACAGACCCAGGGATTTGGACAGTGTGGTGTACAAGAGGTTCTTAGGTTGAGGAAACTCTCGGAGAAGATCAGGACCACCTGTACGCAAATGACACTGTCAGAAATATAATAAAAGCGCGTGCGTTGAGAATCCTTAGTCTTTCGCGTGATGATCTCGTGCATCTTACCTTTGTGAACAGTTTCCGGCGGAGAGTGGCGATGTTTATGGATGACACCTGTTTTAGTCCTATACTGACTTACAAAAGTCCAGTTTGACCAGATGTCTTTATTAATTTCAAGAGTTTTTCTCCTTAAAGCGACGAGTGCCCGAACCGGCATGAGTGCAGTGCAGGACATCGCCATGTCTGTTGTCTTCTTCGCCGCTTTTGACGCGTAACCCACTGGCGACAGCGCCACCTATACTGCAATGAGCGAAGAAGTTGGAAAATAATGTTCAAATATGGAATTAAATTGTTCATATTTACAAATACAGAAAACAAGATCCACAAAGAAATGTAATTATTTTATTTTTTTTATACCGCGAAACAAAGTGGCCCATCGCTCCAGTACAAATATGTGTGCTCATATAGGGCTCAATTGTTGTAACAGAAAGTGTACACTGTACACTACATTATTATGCTACTGTACTAAGGCATAATGCAACAAACACATGTAGACTCTAAAAGTTAACAAAATCTGAACGAGAATCAAGCAGAGAAAATCATGACAGAGAAAATGACCTTGACTAAAATGATGACCTCACGTAAATCAATCTGTTTATTCCACAGATTCTCAACCTTTTTTTCTTCTTTTCTAAATCAGATGATGACTGAAATGTATTCAAATACAGATTCGGCTAGGCAAGAGAGTAGTGATAAATCAAAATAACACATAACAGAATTTTATTGACTTTAGCTGGTTACAAAGTGTTGTAAAGTTAGGCTGCTTTGGTGAATCCAAAGGCTGAGGTCAAAATGAAGCACACTTACATGCAGGTCACAGTACCATTGCATCAAATGACAAAACTGAAAATGTGGGGGTTTTTTATACATATAATTTATTTTAAAAAAATCCAAGCATACATTGGAAATAAATATAGACTGAGCTACTGAGAATTATACATTAATAGACAAACAGGGGAGGGGGCAGAAATACAGTAACTATTGAAACTGCCAGAATCTTAATAAAATATTGAGTTGATGCGTTTAAATGAGGATTAAAACATCTTCAAGTTTCTCATCACAAAATTGAAATATAACAAATCACACTGCTATAATTCTTCAACGAGTGGCATTGAAAGCACATTTGTTAAGATCAACTGAAGGATTTTTAAAAAACAGTCAGTCGGCATCAGACCACCAGTTCATCATGTCTGGACGGACATTCTGAGTGATGGTGACAAAACACACATGAACGGACTCCATCTTATATGTTGACATAATAGACATCACACTAACCAGAGAGCTTCAGTGTGTGCAATAATACAGTCTCTCCATCACATCTTTCCACACATTCTGCATTTCATCCTCACAGTTCTCTTCAGCAAGTTTCATCAGCTGGGTAAAACACACCAAATGTTAAGATTAAAAAAATAACATTTTACAAAACATTTTTGCTAATATATATATACACTCACCGGCCACTTTATTAGGTACCCCATGCTAGTAACGGGTTGGACCCCCTTTTGCCTTCAGAACTGCCTCAATTCTTCGTGGCATAGATTCAACAAGGTGCTGGAAGCATTCCTCAGGGAGTTTGGTCCATATTGACATGATGGCATCACACAGTTGCCGCAGATTTGTCGGCTGCACATCCATGATGCGAATCTCCCGTTCCACCACATCCCAAAGATGCTCTATTGGGTTGAGATCTGGTGACTGTGGAGGCCATTTTAGTACAGTGAACTCATTGTCATGTTCAAGAAACCAATTTGAAATGATTAGAGCTTTGTGACATGGTGGAAGTAGCCATCAGAGGATGGGTACATGGTGGCCATAAAGGGATGGACATGGTCAGAAACAATGCTCAGGTAGGCCGTGGCATTTAAACGATGCCCAATTGGCACTAAGGGGCCTAAAGTGTGCCAGGAAAACATCCCCCACACCATTACACCACCACCACCAGCCTGCACAGTGGTAACAAGGCATGATGGTTCCATGTTCTCATTCTGTTTACGCCAAATTCTGACTCTAACATCTGAATGTCTCAACAGAAATCGAGACTCATCAGACCAGGCAACATTTTTCCAGTCTTCAACTGTTCAATTTTGGTGAGCTCTTGCAAATTGTAGCCTCTTTTTCCTATTTGTAGTGGAGATGAGTGGTACCCGGTGGGGTCTTCTGCTGTTGTAGCCCATCCGCCTCAAGGTTGTGCGTGTTGTGGCTTCACAAATGCTTTGCTGCATACCTCGGTTGTAACGAGTGGTTATTTCAGTCACTGTTGCCCTTCTATCAGCTCGAACCAGTCTGGCCATTCTCCTCTGACCTCTGGCATCAACAAGGCATTTCCGCCCACAGAACTGCCGCTCACTGGATGTTTTTTCTTTTTCGGACCATTCTCTGTAAACCCTAGAGATGGTTGTGCGTGAAAATCCCAGTAGATTAGCAGTTTCTGAAATATTCAGACCAGCCCTTCTGGCACCAACAATCATGCCACGTTCAAAGTCACTCAAATCAACTTTCTTCCCCATACTGATGCTCGGTTTGAACTGCAGGAGATTGTCTTGACCATGTCTACATGCCTAAATGCACTGAGTTGCCGCCATGTGATTGGCTGCTTAGAAATTAAGTGTTAACGAGCAGTTGGACAGGTGTACCTAATAAAGTGGCCGGTGAGTGTATATATATATAAAATAAAGCAAATTATACTAATGTATTAATTATATTATTATATGAAGAAGCACAACTGTTTTAAACATTGATAATAATCAGAAATGTTTGAGCATAAAATCATCATATTATAATGATTTCTCAAGGATCATGTGACACTGAAGACTGGAGTAATGATGATGAAAATTCAGCTTCGATCACAGGAATAAATTACATCAAATATTCAAATAGAAAAAAAAAAAGTTATTTAAAATCATAATACCGGTATTGCTTTCTTACTAGGGCTGTAACAATATATCGCAATACAAAAATGTAACAATATGTATTGTGTATAGTTCACCCCTAAATGAAAATTACTGTGAGATAATAAAATAAAAAAGTTTACAGAGTTTTAGTGTCAGTACTACATCAAACTATTATATATGATGTTGAATATAATGTATAATAAAGCAATGGGAGAATATTTGTGGGTCCTGATAATGCCAAATGTTACCAGTAAAAAGTGTCCAACATTATTTTAAATATACATTTTTAGCATTTTAATCAACAGTAAATTGTTTTGTTAACCTTTTATCATATCTTGGAGTATCGCACTAATATCGTATCGCGATGTGTATCGAATCGTGACATGAGGGTCTCGTTACACCCCTATTGCTTACTGTATTTTGGTCAAATAACTGGTGAGCGACTCAATCTTTTGAGCGGACTGTATGAGAAATACTTACTCTCTTGTTCTGCTTTCCTACGTTTCCTACAGACACACACTATCACAACAGTCACTGTGAGAACTACAGGAATCAGCAGCAGGAGCACCAGACAGTAGAACAACGAGTTGAAGTCTGAAATGATAAACAGCTTGATGTCAAAAACACATTAAAAAACATCCACAATAGTATTAATCTAAGTATTACTCAATGCAATCAGTCCCACAAATGAAAATTCGGCCATTTTCTCACCCTCATGCTGTTCTGTACTCGTACAACTTTCTTTCTTCCGCGAAACACAAAAGATGATGTTTGAAGAATCTTTCAGCGGTTCATTGGATTTAGATAAATGAATGGAGTTTAACTTTCCACATTATTTTTAACATAAGATCAGTCTCGGCCATTTGTAAGTTGAATGTGTGAGGCTTCCGGTCAGTTATTTTACCAGTACAAAAACACTAACGCTGCTTGATGTTACAGTCTGGTATTTGTAATCATATTTTAATTTATTATCATATTCATAAACACACTGGTTTGTAGCGCACAGTTTTAACGTTTCTTGCACTTATTCTTAATGTGACAGCAGGTGCTATTGTGCTGCTTGATATTGCAAAGTGCAATCTGTTGTGTTCATTTAATTCATGAACGCAATCATAAACAGTGGTTTCTAGCGTGAATTATTTTACAGCATTTCGTTATCCTTCCAGTTATTTACTAATGACTCAGAAAACAGCTTACTTCTGTGTTGCTACATAAGGTGTATAACGGCTAATGAATTACATGTAGAAGTACAGACAAAAACACCTGAATCATTCTTCAAATATCTTCATTTGTGTTGTTTTGCAGAGCGGCAAGAAATCATATAAAAGAACAGCATGAGGAAATGAACTACACTCTTAAAAATAAAGCTTTCAAAAGAGGGGTTTTCGCTATGCTATAGAAGAAACATTATTGGTTCTGCATAGAACAGTTCTTAAAGTCCCCCTGTGGTGAAAATCCAGCTTTTAATGTTGTTTATGTGTCTATGTGGTGTTTTTAATACGCTTTAAGACAAAGCATGTGTAAATTCATAAGTCGACAGCATTGCGGAGTATTTTCTCCTTAAAACTGCAGTGGACCAAAGACAGTCTCAAAAACACGGTTTGAAATCGCTGGTGTTTCTGACGTCACAAACGACCTTGTAACCAATCAGATCAACGTGTGATCGTCAACCAGTGGATCTCTGAGCTGAGTGAGTGAGTGGAGGCGGGGCTCATTTGCATATTCATAGAACCGCGTACACTAAATGAGGCAAGGGTGTAGAGTAACACTCTCAGGCTATTTTAGGGCATAAATTTTTTTTTTTTTTCATGGAAAAAAAGTTTTAATAATGTAATTTTGGTGATCAAAGAGGAGTTTTAAGAGATAAAATTATTGACAACAGGGGGACTTTAAACGAACCATTTTTTCTTATTATGAATAACTAATACATTTTTTCCACTATAAAGAACCATTTTTGGAATGGAAGGTTCCTTGGATGTTAAATATTCTTCATGGAACCATCAATACCAATAAAGAACCCTTTATTTTTAAGAGTGTAAACTTTCAAATGATGTGCACAACAGTACAAATGTCTCTAAGCTTTCAGTTACAATAAAGTACAGTAGAGACTGAGAAGAGTCAGTCATGCAGAAGAAAAGAGAAGGCGCTGACATACCTGAAGGCGGCTGGCAGAGATCTGAAGCGTTAAGCAGTGCCGTCTGGTTGCTGAAGGGGTTGTTCACCACACAGCTGTAGGTGTTTTCATCCAGATCCTCCATTTCCAGAGGTATAGACAGTGTGTTGCTGAGGTCAGAGCCACTGACGCTGGACACTAAATCATTGCCTCTGTACAGGGAAAGAGTCGCCCGTGTCGCATTCTTCACAGAACACGTCAAGACACATGCTGGACCTGAGGATCGTTCCGACGCCGTGGAGTTCTGAGAGGCACTGCTGATCATGGGAACGGGCAGAGGAGCTGGAAGTAAAAATCAGACCCCATTAGTCACATGTTGAGATAAAAATATGCTTTAGAAGTTGTTTTCATTGTTAGTTCACCTTAAATGTATTTAGCAAACTAATGTTAATAAAGGGAACCTTACAGGGTTACCAATAAACAATGATCTCATAAAAAGAGACTTAGAGATCCAACAAGCTACAGGAAGAATAAAACGTATTATTTATTTCTCACCGTAGACTTTAACACTGAATCTCCTGATGGAAGTCTTTCTGCCGTTGACGATAGTTAATTTATAAACTCCGGAGTGTTCAGATCTAGTTTTCTTAATGGTCAGAGACCCGGTCTGATAATCCAGTTGCAGTCTGTCTTTAAATGGCACCTGTTGACTCTCATATATGTAGAACATGTAGGACCATTTGATGATTTCAGCTATCAGGGTGTCTGGACTGTCCGGTCCAAACTTCCACACAATGTCATCATTTCTCTTAATTTCTCCAATATCTGTGTGCAGAGTGACTGAATCTCCCACCATTACTGACACTGTTTCAGTGTTATCCGTCTGTGCACCAAACACACCTGCAGAAACACAAACAGCGCGTTATGAAATCATGTTGACTTAATCCTAGCTGAGGAAACTTGCTTTTTATTACTTTATTAACTATTTAATATTAAGCTTCAACACAGCCATGAGTGGTTTAAGATAATTTGATGGAGTATGGCTTGTTAACTGATGTTTGATGTCATTAAAAACGACAGACATTGGGAACAGTTTCAAAAAGGATATCAGAGAGAAAGAACACCTTTAAATTAAGAAACTGTAACAATATTACACTGCTCCAAACTCTGAAACACTTACAACACAGTTGGGGGGGGGGGATGGGGGGGGGGATCTAGACCAGATCCCATTATTATTAATAATAATATTAAAAACTCCTCAACTTACCGGCTAGTAAACACAAGATTACGACAGTATTGAAACGCATTATCCTCCACAACTCCAAACAGTCTCTGAAAACTGAGCTCATGTGTGCGTTGAGAACTGCTCCACACTCACTGGAACTGGTAAATTTACTTGTTGTCGAAATGTGGTTCGTAGCTCGTGCCAGTGGCTCATCGACTGTGCCAAATTATTTTATTTTTTTAGTGGATCGACCTCGATTGTCGCGCGTTTAAGCTGAGATGAATCACCTATGGTCGCCACGCCCACCACCTTTCGGCACGCGCGCGCCCATTACTGCAGAGAAAGAGAGTTTGTTCCTACCAGGTGGCAAACGTTTCCAACTTTAGTGGTTTATAATTGCTTCTAAGGCACAAACTTGGCTTCGCGTTAGGGTTACGATTTTCTACACATTTCTGCTACTATTTCAAGAGGCTGTTTTTTAGTGACTTTTGCTTTTGAATGCAAAAGATGCGTTTTTCTCCACAACCAGCAACGTCTTAAAGGGATAGTTCACCCAAAAATGAAAATTGGCCCATTATTTACTCACCCTGAAGCCATCCTACTCACCCATCTTTCCGACGAATACAAACGGAGTTATATAAAAGAAAAATGTCCTGGCTCTTCCAAGCTTTAATGGGAGTCAATGGGTATATTTTTCCATCAAAGTGCATCCATCCAAGATAAAAGTGCTCGAAATGGCTCTTGTGGGTTAATAAAAGCCTTCTGAAGTGATGTGTTTGTGTAAGAAAAATATCCATATTTAAAACTTTATCGACTAAAATAACTAGCTTCCGGCAGACAGCCGTACGCAAGTCGACTTGCGCCAAAAGAGTAACACTTGAACTTGACACAGAACGTAATGACGAACGCGGTTGACCAGCCCTGTTTGTTTAAACCGCGAGAGGCGTCAAAGTTTACTCTACTCCTACATCCTACGTCATACATCGTCAAGTATTACTCTATGAACTATCCCATTAATATTTAGTCAACACCAATGCTGTCAACGGAGGGGCAGAAATTACTCAGATTTAATTAAAAAATATCTTCATTTGTGTTCCGAAGATGAATGAAAGTCTTACGGGTTTGAAATGACATGAGTAAAGGATGACAGAATTTTTGGGTGTACTAACCCTTTAAGAAAGCTTCAGTGACTGCCTCATTTGCCATGAGGCGAGGCGGATCTGCCGGGGTGGCAACTGCCACCCTAAGAAAAAGCTTTGCCACCCCAGAATTATCACAGAATAAAATATAATTGTAAGCAGTGTTTTAAGTGCTGCTTTTCAGCATTGTTGCTTCAATGTGATGACATAAAAAAGACAGCATAACGCAAAATGATGGCAAGAAAACACGTCTTTAAATAAACTTGCGCATTCAGCGCGCCCAGTGTAGTCAGCTTCATTAACAAATGACTCTTATGAACCGGTTCTTTGTGAGTCAAAAACACACAGTACAGCTCAGTTCACTTATACGAATTGTTTTTCCATTTGTTCGTGAATCGTAAAATTACTGCTGCTTGGCTAACTCTTGGCTTAGATTTTCTGAGAAATCTAATCACATCCGTATATGTCTGATATTCATTTCGTAATTGTTTGGTGAGCTGATTCTCCGACCGCGCTCTCCACTTTTATCATATGGGCCTTTATTGCCATCCGACAAAACAATAACATGAAATAAGTAAGATGATCCTGATCACAGAAACTAATAGCAGAGTTAGGTAAGAATCTAACCGTATTGCAGTTTTTCTCGATTGCTACAACATTATAACTGATTCAGTTGGCCCAATTTCCCAAACCATTCATTCCGTTCTCAAAACAAGACATTTCTCAAAACATTTTACAATGAGTATACATTAGGTGGCGAAACTGATGACACAACAATCAAAATCTCTGCATCCTGGAGAGAGAGATGAAAGAATAATGAACAGGGTATGTTATATATTTACAGTACACAGTACCATTAGATAAGTACTTTACCAGCACTATGGATAAGGGAAATTTCACTATTTTATGTACAGTAAAGAGTACCACATGTTGTACACCCTCAAACTTCTAATTGTCAACTTTATTTGTAGCCTTTTTTGGTGTGTGTGTAGTACTGTATTTTTGCAGAACTGAGAAATGACTGCCTAGGGATATAGTATTGTGTCAGAATACCAAGAAATTGCTATAGCTGTATACTGTAATGAAATTTGGACAAATGTGCATATATAATATACTTTTTTTCTCTCTTTATTTTACTGTACTGTTATTGACAGTATACTTGACTTGGTGCCATGATGGATATTGAAATTTTGTTATTTATTTTTTATTTTAAACAGTAAAGATGATTACTTTGTGGTAATGCAATATTTGTGAACAATATTTGTATGTCAGGCCATAAATCCACAAAAACTATGCACGGGCGCTTGCTTTGGTGTTGCCACCCCTCAGAGACTGCTCTGGTAGGTCTGGTGACGGCACAGCAGGATGATCCTGGATTGAAAACTTTGTTTGCTGCTGTCCTCGCACCGGATTATGTGGGGGAGAGCAGTTATGTCAGGAAGGATGATGGTGTGCTCCTGTGTGAATGGCTTATGCAGAGTGAAGATTGATTTGTATTGGCCGTTGTTGAAGAAAGATGTTCCACGATGGGTTACCGTCAACTCCTTAAACCAGCTCTGTTGTGCCCAATACCAGCTTTGACTCACATTTGAAAAACTGTTCATAGATTGTGTTCGTTCCTCATGGTCAAGAAATAAGTCTCTGTGTGATGTGTCAAAGTTCCTGTTATCCAGCGGCTTATGCTATATGAAAAATTACTACTCGATCGATGGTTAAAGCATTGCCCCAGTTTATTTCTATTTTTGGTATTCCCGGGGTCGTATGAACATCACCTGAAATATGTTTGCTGAGGTATTAAAGCATTTGGGAATTAAACATCACCTGTACAGTGCTGTTTAGTCCCAATGAATTGGTCCTTTGACTCATCACACTGATACTTATTCTTGACCATGAGGAACGAACACAATCCATGAACAGTTTTTCAAATGTGAGCCACAGCTGGTATACTTTTGAAGGACTTCATTTTGGATTGTGTCTGAGAGCCAGTGATCTCTCCTCTGAATCCGCAGTCTCTTTCTTGGGAGGTTGTAGGTACGTTCAAGTAGCCTGGTAATACCAAACTCTGCTACTTCGTAGACAGAGTCTGGAATGGCATAATTGAATTTCTCGCGGGGGGCGCTTGTCTGAAGTATAAAATCATTGGTTACCCGTAAGCCAATTACATAACGCAATCCCCTCTCTCTCCAACTTAAACATCACCACCATTCAAAATGTTTAACAAACACTCTTCTTGTTTAGGCTTCAGTTTGCAAATGCCGGGAATATTCTCCACAACAGAGCGAATTGCATCCCGTATCTCCATATCCGTGATCGTTTTAGATTTCCCTAACCTAACATACAATCATACTCTGCGCTTAGCGTCTACGTCACGGCTCTCAGCCCGCCCTCTGTTCGTTGATTGGCCGGCTGTTTTCAGGCCGGAGGAAAACTGAGAGATAGGTCGCTATCTCAGACTGAGTACAGAAGCGAACTGAAATTGAGCGGAAGTACGAAGTCTGACCTAGTCAGGCTAACGTTCAAGCATCATTTCATACAAAATGCCATCACGGGTGCTGTCACCCCAAGAAGCCACCCCCTTTTTTCCCAGGAAGGACACCTACCTGAACATTAGCTCCAAAACATGCCTTGCTGTGTCCTGAGTTTGGCGGGCAGCGTCAGGTAAAAGGGCAGTAACTGGGGTGTTTTGTAGAGCAGCAATTTTTTTGAATGGCATCACAATGAAGTTTAGACTTTTCATGCTCGTTGAATTTTTCTTGTGGCTTTCCGCCAGTTTGTAAAGCCTCCCTTGACAAAACTGCTGTCAAACCTTACACTATCTTCATTGATGTGACGTTTCTCCACTGCCAAACTGCCTTCCAGGAAAAATTAAGTTGGTTGGTTGGTGTGGAGTTATTGCCTCGACCAAAACTACGTTCACGCTAGCACTTTGCCCTGGTACTGCCGCAACGTCAGTTTGAATTGGCACGGTTTCTGGGCCTGGGGCAGGTGTGGTGGGGGTGGTCGCTTCAGAAGTGCTCCTGCTGATACGCAGGTCTGCTTCCTCCTCCGACAGATCTTCCAGCTCGAGGCTCGGCCTTTTTTTTCAGAAGTGCATTTTTGCGCCATTTGGACTTTTTTTGTTGTGTTAACTGTTGACCTTCACTGACAAGTGTGCGCTGTGACATCATGAGACAATTGCCACTTGTTTTAATTGTGGCTCACCCTCAGCACCCCTACTTCCTGTGTAAGTCAGCTAAAACGGGCCACGTTTAGGTAAATGACTTATAATACCATCAAATAAGCCAGTGGTTCTCAACTCCAGTCCTCGGGACCCGCTGCTCTGCACATTTTGTATGTCTCTCTTATCTGACACACTCAGGCCCCGTCCACACTACTGCGTTTTCGTTTAAAAACGGAGACCTTTTGCTCCGTTTGCACCTCCCGTCCACACTAAAACGGAAAAAACGAAGACCTAAAACGGAGAAACCAGCTCCGTTTTGCGTTTTGAATCTCCGGAGGGCGTTTTAGTGAAGACGGGACAAAACGGAGGACTTTAGAAACGATGACGTAGTAGAGGCTCACGCTCGGCTCTATGATTGGGTGTCATCAGTCATGACGTATCCTTCCCTGATTCGTCAGCCACCCATCACATGTCAATCCGTTTCCTGTTTACACCGGCACGCGCATGCCCAGTGTTGGTGAATGGTCACGTGATCCGCGTTTTCAGGCGTTTTAATGTGGACGGAGATCAATTCTAATACGCAGATAAAACGCTGGTGTGGACGGAGATCGTATTCGTTTTAATTCTCCGTTTTTAAACGAAAACGCAGTAGTGTGGACGGGGCCTCAGTTCAGTTCATAGAGTCTATCCTAACGAGCTGAGGATCTGAATCAGGTGTGTTAAATAAGGGAGACATACACAATATGCAGAGCAGTGGGTCCCGAGGACTGGAGTTGAGAACCACTGAAATAAGCTATACATGAGATCTAATGATATTTTTATAAATTAGCATGATTCTCTTAAATATATATATATATTATAAATGTGAAAAAGTATAATTGTTTTAAAATTATGAGAGTTAGAGTATCAGCTGGTACCTTCTTGAGCCGAGGCACAACATTCAGTTAAAATGGGCCAATATAAATAGAGAACAACACAGGTAATTTTGGCTGAAATTATTTTATTTTTAACAGTAAACACAAAAACACTTTAACATTTCCTGTAGCTACTGTAGGTCTTCACATCACACCTCGTCAGGCCAGTTAGAGCTTTTGCTACATTTCCTTCAAAGGCAGTCTTTGCAGATATAACCATCTTCATCACAGATGCCATTATCCTCTCCACAGCTCTCGTGGTGCCATGAATTGCACTGACAACAGCACACCCAGCCCTCTGTGGCCTTTGGGTCATTCACACTCTTCGGCAGGCTGCGCTGGGGTATTTGCTAATCTTGCTTTGTGCTCTATTCCCTTTTTGATTTTTTTGAAGATGAGGGTTGTTCATCCTCCTCATGATGGTTTGAGGTGTCTTGCCCAGGAGTGAAAACATGGAATAAGGACCTCTCCATATCCTCCTGGGATGTGATGATTACTTCTTCATACACCAAATCCTTACTGACAGTGTCGTGTGTAATCAAGATCGGTGTATCCTCTACCACAGCCAGTTCAGTTCCTGTGGGTAGTACAGCCCTCTCTGTTGTGATGCTTGGTTTGTATCATCAAGGATTATGTCTTTGTTAACAGGAAACATCCCTGTGCCCCTGAATCCAGCATGGACGTTTTCAACTGTCGCAGTCTTCTGCCAGGCCTGGTGAACCAGAGAGAAGAACTGTGTTCTGGGGAGCTTCTGTCCTGCCGTCCTCCTTATCCACTTCCACCCCTCCTCATACCAATTGTGTTTCAAACTTGTGAAAAGTGCTTTGTCAGCAGGCTGGAGGGCATGTGTGGTGTGAGGCAGATAGGCCATCACATGCACATTTTTGGCTTTCATCAGTTGTATGAAGTCCAAATTATAGACATGGCTACTGTGGCCATCCAACAGGAGAACATGGGGCCTTTGGTCATCTTTTGGCAGCAGCTCTGTAAACATCTGACCCCACTCCAGGAACAGGTCACTGTTTATCCAGCCGTTGTCAAAGACCCTAACTGCAACATTTTCTGGGCAGCCATAAAGCCACTCACACCTTAGTCACTTGCCTTTAAAGCTACTCTTTGTGTAATTCTGTGTTGATTCGTAGCAAAAAACACTTATCTCTTTCCAAAGTATATGTGCTCATTCATGTGTAATTACTTCCACCATGTAATCAAGTATCCTCGTAAGCGTAGAATCTGCCATTTAAAATACATACGAGCGAGTCGCTCGAATGGCGGCAGCCATGTTGCGCCTCCATCTTGAAAATATATTACCCAAAGAGGGACATACCTGTAAATTCAAGTTTCGCTAATAAACACATGGTGATGAACTAAACCACAAACAGCTGTGATGAGGATTAGTGTCCATGGAAACAGATGGAGTGGTGGGAAAACCAAACAGAGGAACACATGTGACTAATGAAAACAAAGTTGGAGTCCATGAAAATGAAACTAACAAACACAACTGATACATTGTGGCAGTCTTACGCCTAAATTACTGAGTATTTTAAGTTTCCGCTGTTATAATGAGACAAAATAATTTGGCTTTGTGTGGTGTAAGTCTAAGTACTGCTGTCCAGTGATTAAATATGCGTGTCTTGGAAATGGGAAGCCTCAGGGCCGCTTAAATTAAAAGAAACCTAGCATTGGGGATTTGTAGCTATTTCCTGTTGTACCGAACTCGTTTCGAACCCCAAATACCAAGGTGTACTACTAAACCGTGTCTTCTGTGTACCACTAACACCCCTAATACATATACACACATAGCAACAGTCTTTGAATAAATTGTTAATAAAAAATAAAAATAAAAGTTTTTTTCTATTATGAAGTTAGTTATGGACAAAATATATACTGCAATATATTAGTATTTAAGGAACTATACAAAACGTTCTAAAGATATTTAAAAATATAAATATATATCACCATGGTTGTGATGTGAAATTAATTAGAAAAGCAGAGTATTACAATTAAGTCACATCTTTAAATAAACTCTCATAGAACATCAAAAATCTGGTAGTTTTTATTTTTGCGTTTAATAAGTCCGTAGGTGAGTAGAATTCAATAAGATGTAACGGAAGACACATTGGAGCTTGAATGAGTTTTATTTATGATCGAGACTTTTATTTTAGCTTCGCCGAACGACGTCATGGTGACGTCAGGCACGTCACAGGAACATGGATGTTTGCTGTTATTCTTCCGAGGGAAGGTCTGTGTTTGCAGCGCTTCAGTTGTTAAATGTGTTTAAAGCTATATGATACGGTTGGAAGTTTTGACAGAAGTGCTCCCGACGACACGATATTAGCCTATTATTGAAGACATTTTGCGGTAGTAATGTGAAACAAATGGAGATTATTGCCGAATATAGCCTAATATTGTAATGTTTGAGGCCTGTTCACATCAACTATGAAGTAAAAACGGACAGAATGGGAATGTTTAATATAATTATGCTTTATCTACATTTTATTACAGAAGCTGCGTATATTATTTCTTGCAGTGCACTTTATAGTCATTGTACTGTGTTCCTGTGTCACTAAAGCTAGTGAAATCTTTAGTGTTATGTATCAGTTTTATAACCGTTTTTGTTTCAAAGTGAATCGAGTTTTATTCTGCAAGTAAATGATTGAAGTGCATTTTGCTGGATACGACTGAAACCTGTCATCATGTACTGGTCATATTGGATCTCAAAATAAAAATAAGACCGAAATAGGAAATTATATTTTACTTAGGTTGAAGCCAAATTTTAGAACCATTAAGAGTTTTTGCATTGTGACATTATTTTCACCCGTTCAGCATTTATCCTCTATCATTTTCATACATTTCCTATATAAAAATGAAAATTATCCCATGATTTACTCACCTTCAAGCCATCCTAGGTGTATATGACATAATTCTTTCAGCCAAACACAATTAGAGTTCTATTAAAAATATCCTGCCTCTTCCAAGCTTTATAATGGGAGTGAATGGTAACTGAGATTTCGAAGCCCAAAAAAGCAAATCCATCCATCATAAAAGTATCCATACGGCTCCAGGGGGTTAAAGCGCATATTCCAGGTCAGATCCCCAGTGAGTCAATGTATGACTTGATGTGCAGTGCCTGAATTTGCACCCAGGCTTTGAAGCCCGTATGTGCTACCACTCCATCATAACGTTTGGATGATAATCCTCCGGTCTAAAGTGAAAGCTACACACTACCGCGTTTTTCGAAGCAGATGCAGAAGTGAAGTCCCGTCTCTTCACCTGCACAAAACGCACCCAGACATGTGGGATAGCACCGTCCTTTATCTTGTTAGGAAACCTGTGGACTCGATGTTCTGACAGGCCGGAGTTTGTGCAGCCTCCTCAAACACAATGATTTATGACGATGATAAATTGAAATTAATAACTACTGGAAACACACTGAATCACGACCGCACCTACTGAATATCAACCTACTCTGCAGTGAGCAAACGCAGAGCCTGGCAAACGACTCCCTCTTGTGACGTGATTATATGTTACGAGGAGGGGAAAAGCGTTTTTAGAAACGGTCAAGGAAACTTGTCACTTTTTCTACTACATTTGTGCCATCATGTCTTGTAAAACATTTTAAATCCTGCATTAACTTTTCATATGATATTTTCATACAAGGTTAGGCTATATATTAATTTAGTAAAAAAAATGTCACCCCTCACTAGCTTCCGCTAACGGCCGTGCGCGCACCGGCGTAGGATGTAGGAGTGTCGTGAGCTTAGACTAACCCTTTAAATTTGACTTAGCAGATTTGGACCTCCATACCAGTGAAGCTGCTCCCCAGAGATGGGAATATTTCAGTCATCCTACATGTGAAGAAGCCACGTGGATTCAAACTGACAGGAATAATTCTGGTGTGACGACCAATCCTGCTTAACACATCATTGAAAAGATGGAATTCGTCAGAGTGGTGATTGGGGACGTGAGTGATCCAGAACCATTCAAAATATTAAAGGATGACTCGGAAGGACAAAAAGGTTGGTCCCCAGTTTGATCAACTTACGGTAATTGCAGGGTCTATTTATTTATGTAAATCAATTGACATATGTTGATATTGTACCATATTTAAGTAACATCCCTTCAATCAGAAAGTCATTTTTAAGGAAAAAAGCGAACCAAAGTGCATCATCACTGCAGCAATGCCAAGAGTGCGAGAAAAATGTCTTGATTTTTTTTATATCCTATTTTGTGTTCATTTTAGACCTGGTGGAGGTGAAAGAGGAAAGTCAAGAGGTGAACGAAGTGGAGGAGAAATGTCAGTTTGAGGAACCTCAAGCATTCATGACTAGTGACAAACCTTTGAGTTGCTCACAGACTGAAAATAATTGCGCACAGAAAAGCGCTCTCATTTGCCCTCATTGTGGCAAGTGTTTTAAACAAAGAGGACACCTTGAGGATCATATAAGGACTCACACCGGAGAGAAGCCTTACACATGCCTTCAGTGCGAAAAGAGTTTCACACACAAGGGAAACCTTAAGGATCACATGAGAATTCACTCTGGAGAGAGGCGATTCGCTTGTCAGCAGTGCGGGAAAAGATTCACGCACAAAGCAAATCTTACGGATCACATCAGGATTCACACCGGAGAGAAGCCTTTCACGTGCACTCAGTGCGGAAGGAGTTTCACTCACGCGACGAGTCTGAAAACACACCTGCTCACTCACTCTGGAGAAAGGCCGTTTAACTGCGATCAGTGCGGTCAAAAGTTCATTTTGGCGGCGCACTTAAAAAGACACCTGAAAATCCACACCAACGAGAGGCCGTACGTGTGTTCTTTTTGTGGGAAGAGTTTTTTATGGCTCTGCTATTTTAAAGACCACCAGAAAAAACACACCGGTGTGAAAGCGCACGTGTGCTCCGAGTGTGGCAGCGCTTTTACTAGAGCCAGCGAACTGAAAATGCACCAAAGAATCCATACCGGAGAAAAGCCGTACACGTGCTCGTATTGTGGGAAGAGCTTCGCCGAGTCTGGAAACCTGAAGAAACACGAGCGGGTGCACACCGGAGAGAAGCCGTACCAGTGCCCTTCGTGCGGCAGGGGCTTCAGCCAGTTCAGCCATCTACTTAGACATTTAAAACAGCAGAACTGCCCCAAACTAGCACAGTTCATCTTCAGGCCCCAAGACGAGCAGAGTTCGTCCCCAGGTGCGACACTTTCAACTACATAGTGTGTCATTCAATTGAAGCAAAGACTCCCAAAATAGCAATGGACTGAGATATATTTCCAGAGAACACTGAGGTTTAATCTGCTGACATCCTTAAAAATAGTTAACAAAGTCAGTCCTGGATCAAATAAAAAAAATTAAGGCATATATATTACTGTATCTGTTACTGTATTATACGTTTAAATAATGTGGATTTCACAATGGGAATACTGTATCTAGGGCTGTCACGATTCCTCGATTAAATTCGAGTCCTTGATTGCATTTTGCTCGCGTCGAGTAACCGCTAAAGTACCGGACGTGGCGCTGCAGATCTAATATATATGCGCTTTATTTATTTTCACGTGTGTATGGGTTACGTGCGTTTCAGAGCAGCTCCGCTTACAGTAATGCTGCTCCACATGAACTTTATCATTTACATGTGAGGAGCGGCTCAGAATCCATCTCTGCATCATCTGTGTGAGTTTGGCTTGCTTGTGAACCTAAACCTAAATATGTTTCTAAATATGCGAACTGTTCATTGCGATTTCAAAATAGAAGTTTAAACCCTCGCTCTGAGTTTGCATATTTTACGAGTCCACATATTCCTGTTCAAGAAATTACAGTGGGTGTAGCATTTCTATAATAAAGAAGTTGCCAAGATTAAAGCTGCAGTCCGTAGCTTTTTTTGGGTTAAAAATGATCCAAAATACATATTTGAGCAAATACATAACCAGCCAGTGTTCAACGCTATCTGCTTGCCTTAGCTCGATTCAAAGCGGTAAGCTTGTAATAATGTTTTTAACTCCAGTGGTACTGGTGGATTTCCGCGGGAGATTCGAGCATGTCTTTGCGTCATTACGTCACACCTGTACACATAAAGAAGGAGTCTCGGCTAGTAAGGGTATATTGCGAGTGAGGATGTTGGAGGTGGAGATTTATTGCCTTTTCTCACTGCACTTGATATAATTAAACTTATTAATTTGATGGCGGATCCAGAAAAGTTCAAACGACAATCACCAGAGACAACTAGAGATTCACCCGTTGTGAAATGCAAAAGACTTTGTTTGGACTTCGAAGTGCTAACTTACAGAAAAAGAGACTGCAACCGGACCCATGCGAAAACAAGGACACATATCGGAAGGGCATTACATGTAGTCACGCAATGCTGACGTTGTTAACATTAACAATTTGAGAACAAAGTATAATTTGCACGGTTTTGTGTGATATGATAACTTATAAGCGATCTATAGATTTAATCAGCGCGATTTACTGCAATGTCAGAACCAGAACAAAAGTGGATGTTTCTTACTTGTTCAGATGACATTTTCCGGATGAAAATTATTATGTTGGTCATACTTTCAAAAAAGAATATGCCAGTATCGACATCGGCGCGGCGACTGACAGCCTCACAGTCTCCTCAAACATTGTGCACATCCGCGCTGTGCGGTGTCGAAGTACAACTCACGTAAAGTTGATAATTCCGCGAATGACTGCAATTGCAGATTTCGAACAGAGATGGCGACAAAGAGGAAAAACTGCGGACTGCAGCTTTAAAGGTGGGGTATGTGATTTTCTTTTTTGACCATTTTTTTAGAAGCACTGAAATGAAAATTAATCAATTTAATCATCTGTGGAATGGGCAGGACTCTAAAAACTCCAGCCAATAATTTCCAAGACCACCTAGAATCATTGGACAGTCAGTGCGTCAATCAAACGGTCGTACCATACCCCCCTCACCCTCGCGCGTGTCCCCTTCGTGCGCATACTCAAAGCTCGTGACCCAGTCACAGTAAGTGCAAGTCGCCCCGGTACAGAGAGAGAGAGAGTAAGTGCAATCTGAGTTTTGCAGCTGCATGATTGCCTGTCCTTCGAATGGGTGGAGTCAGGGCTATGGAGGACCAACTCTACCATATTTAAAAATAAATGCTCAATAAATAAATAAGCATACAATTAATTGCCCCAAAAATACAATAAACAAATAAATGTAGGTAGAAATTAAATTATACAGTGAGACATAAATGTATATACCTCTTTTAATTAGCTTCTTTATTCATTCACCTTTGTAATAATTACCTTATTTATTTATTGTCCGTTATAATCTTCAACTTTATTTATTAATTACTTATTTTTTTAAGTATTTATTTATGTGCATGTTATAATATTTTTGTCTGTTTTATTCTTCCTTTGTATTTTTTTACCCTATTTATTTCTTCAATGCTATTTATTTCTGCCTGTCGTTTTTACATTTCTGTATGCATTTCTGCCTCATTATGCAAATGAGGAGGGGCTGTGTCTTAAGGGGTCAACCTCTGCCCATTGGTTGGTTAGCATTTTACTGCATCGGTCGAATCTACATGCCACCGGCCGCGATTTTTTTTTTTGCAGGGTGGTAGGGGAAGACTCATTAATATTCATTAGGGAACTCATCCCTGATTGTCAATTTAAAAGATACATTTTAAAGTCAAGAAAGTCGCAGTTTGATGTAAAACTGTTGAGGTATAAGACTGTGTAAATACGTAATTAAAAAGACTACAAACCCAAAAGGCGCACATTTTCTCTCAATGAATGAAGCTAACTTTACTGAAGCTAACGTCTGTCATTTGTTCTATAGTCTTACGTTATAATCGTAACGTTACGCCGTCATGCCGGAGTGTTTTGTACCAGACTGCACACACACAAGCAGCGGATCTCGCTCGTTGTTTCGCTTCCCGGGAGATGTAGTTCATTGAGCGATTTTTACATAAAACTAAATGTTACTCTTCTGTTTTATGACAAACTGCGACTTTCTTGACTTTCATAATTATCTTTTAAATTGACAAACATCATATGTGTAATTCAGGGCACAGTTCAGACGGAATAAAAAGATAAAGTTGTCTCTCGCCATTGACAGACTACCATACATATTTTTTCCTAAATAAGGTCCCATGAGCCGGAAGCGGAGGGGAGGGGCGTTGACCCCTTAAGACACAGCCCCGCCTCATTTGCATAATGAGGCAGAAATGCATACAGAAATGTAAAAACGACAGGCAGAAATAAATAGCATTGAAGAAAAAAATAGGGTAAAAAAATTCAAAGGAAGAATAAAACAGACAAAAAATATTATAACATGCACATAAATAAATACTTCAAAAAATAAGTAATTAATAAATAAAGTTGAAGATTATAACGGACAATAAATAAATAAGGTAATTATAACAAAGGTACGTAAATAAAGAAGCTAATTAAAAGATATATATACATTTATGTCTCACTGTATAATTTAATTTCTACCTACATTTATTTGTTTATTGTATTTTTTGGGGCAATTAATTGTATGCTTATTTATTTATTGAGCATTTATTTATTTCTGTATTTATTTTTAAATATGGTAGAGTTGGTCCTCCATACAGGGCCAGCGTTGGAGGAAAGAAGGTAGGACCTTTTGAGTTGTGTATTTTCAAAATCTGCCGGCCGTTTTGCAAATCCCATACCCTACCTTTAAGTAAACAGTTGAATTAAATGTTGTTTGGCCAGTATTAAATATTAAAGGATTTGATCAATTTATATGTGTAACAACAACAATCACCAACCAGGCTGTACATAATGCACATAAGATGATTGTTATATTATGTATTTTAACTGTTGTTTTATAAAACCATATTATTACATTATTGCCTCATTATTATAGATGTATTTTAAGTCGTTTAAAAGCTTAGGTCTCTGCTAAGGTCTATTTTAATTTACCACTTCTTTTTTTTTTTACTCGATTAATCATCAAAATAATTGACCAATTACCAAAATAATCATTTGTGACAGCCCTAGACATATCCATAGAAGCTGACGTGGCATTACAAACAAAGTGGGAGACTTTTTAAGATACATTACTTGGAGTGATGAAATAGTACAGAGTAGTCGGTCGCTGTGAAGTGTCATGTTTGTAGAGGTGTCACAGTAGTAGCAATAGTGCAGAAAAGTATATCGATGTGGGACGGTTCACTCAGAAATGAAACTTCTGTCATCATCGTCTCCCTTGCATGTTGCTCCAAACGTCTTAAGATTTCTTTCTGCTGAACACAAAAGGAGATATTTAAGCCTTTTCCACACACTGAAATAGGCGTGTGATTCTGACTGTCAAGTACATTAAAGGGATAGTTCACCCCAAAATGAAAATTCTGTCAGTAACCCCGTAAGACTTTCGTTCGAACTAACCCTTTAAACCACTCTTTCTATAATCCTTTTGTTTTCCATGGAAGAAGAAAAATGTGGCGTTTTGAGCAACATTGGAAACTGGATTGTGACAAATTCGCATTTCATTAAGTGTGCCTTTCAGTTTGAAGCATTTGGTGACGGGAGCTTAACCAGTCAAATAGTAGAACATGACACTGTCAGTATATCAGTACCACACTGAGCTTGATTTTCAAGTAACACAATGTATAAGTTGCTTTGGATGAAAGTGTCTTAAACTGAATAAATGTTTAATGCTTGTTCGCCTTTAGAAACTCTTGTGGATAAAGTACATTTTTTGTGTACTTAGCGTGCAAACATCAGTCAAGCTTGGGTGTGTACTAGCTTTCTTTTCTAAAAACTCTACACAACGTCAGATTTGTCTAATAATTAGTCTTATATGAGGAGTGTTACAGATTACATTTCTGAAACATTTTATTTCTCAAAGATACCTCATGCTACCACAAAAAAACACAAAATAAGGTTTTTAATGTGAGTGTTTATTGGCATATAGAAACCAGATATGAACTCTGTTGTCACTGTCAAAGATCATTATTACACAATGGCGACTAGTAAAAAACATGAGGTTTCAGATATGCAATCATAGCTTCAAAACTTTTGAAAAGTGTGTACGATTTCCCTCTTTTGGGGACTTGTGTAGGTTACTAACACAGCATGGGAGACCACGTCTTAATATTATTGCATGTTGCATTTATTTGTTAGCACCCTTGATGTGGGGACCATGTCTCTTACTAACTCTTGTCACCAATACACACTGGTGATGAGTGAGACTGAGTGTGCGTGTTTCCATTTACTGCCTTAGTGACGTTACATCAATATTTTATATGGTTTCAATGTTGAGTCCTGCTGACTTTGACTGAATTCATCTGGACACCATGGACAGCATTCGTATTGCAAGAGAAACTCATCCTCGAAAACCATGAACAGATCTATGCACAGTAAAAGAAAATACACCCTAAATCGCGTTAATGTTTCCCTTGCAATGGGAATGCCCATGATTTGTGCCAACCATAATATGTGTATCAATTTACAAAATCAATTTTACTGTT